TCCACCCCTCCCAGCCTCCTCAGAAGTTCCCTGGCTTGGGGGGCAGAAAGCTGGTAAAGAAAAAGCACATCCCTTGGAGGCCCGAGGGGAGGGGGTCTGGCCTGAGTTCTGGAGGGCCTGGGTGACCTCAGGGAGGGCCTGGCTGCAGGAGCAGGGCACCTGGCCCGTGCCTGCCCTCACGCAGGGCCACCCACATACATACCCACATACGCACCCACAAGGGAAACAGAGAGCCCTTCATCCCTGCCTTAGCCGTCCTAGAGCACTCCCTCACGGCCCTCCTCAGACTTCTCAGGAGAAGGGCTCTCCCAGCCTCACCCCTGCCTGCCTAGGATGTGGATCTCCGAGTCTCTCTTGGTTTCTCCTCCTTCATCTCCTTCATCAGGCCTCTGTCTGGACCCCTGAGTGCAGTTTCTGTGGAGGAGGGAGGTCTTCATTTCTCATTCTCGGTTTTAACATCTTTCTCAGGCTTTCTCTCTCCCCCAGGTGGGTTCTTCTTTTCCATGACTGTGTTACTGTGCTTATGATTGAATGAGTGAGTGAGTGAATGAATGAACAAATATGGATCCCCCTGCTCTCACCTCCTGCTCCATCTCAGTACCGCTAGGTACACCTCCGCAGCACACGCATGTCCAAGTCTCCCACTGCCCCCCTTTGCCCCTGGGACCTGGGCGTGCCCCCGGGCCATCCTGCCCAGCAGCTCCGACTCCCAAACTTCCTCCCTTATAAAGTCAGGCAGCAGCAGACACCCAGGAATCCCGCTGCCTGTGACGCATGCTGGCTGTGGGGCCGCCTGGCTGCCCTCAGGCAACCAGGAATGTGGCGGGAGCGGGGCACGCAGGGATTGATTGCCTGGGAGTAGGGTGGGCTGGGGGTGCCTGGGCTGGGGAAGCAAGAGGCCCCAGGCCTAGCTCTCTAGACTGTTCTGGGGCAAGGGTGGTGCTCCCAGTGACAGCCAGGATAGGGCAGGGGGAAGAGGGAGCCAAAGGCAAAGAAAGACAGGGAGAGGCGGAGATAAGGCAGCAAGGTGGCCAAGTGGCCAAGACAGAGACAGAGGAGATAAGGGACAGGGACAGAGAGAGACAGTGTGGCTAGCCCTAGGCATTGTGAGGACTCAGAAGGATCAGGGTCTGCAGCAACCCCCACCCCCGGTGACTAGAAAAGGGACCCATGCTTGAGAACCTGCCCCTGGTGAGCCCAGGAGAGCATGGTGGGGGCCTGATGGGCAGAGATAATCCCTACAAGGAGACCCCTTGTCCCAAGCCACTGACAGATAAAAGTAGAGCATCGTGGGGCAAGTAAGCCTCAGGCTTGGGGCCCCCTAGGGGCAGGCTTCAGGTCCCCATTTATACACACACTAGGAGTGCCCCAGGGAGACCAGAGATGCCAGCACAACCTGGGGCCGGCCAGACGGTGGCTTGCTAGGGACACTCGGCTAAGCTTTGTCTCCCGTCTGAGAAGAGGCTTGGCGGGGAAGGACATAGGCTCTTTCTGTGCCCCCAAGCCTCGTCTCAGGAAGAGGGATGGAGCCACTCTGCCTTGGCCCAGACAGAACGCCCAGTCCGTGGTCAGGAAGGGCGGGAAGCTGAGGGATGCTCCACCTTCGGCAAACCTCTGGGATGGATGGGCGCCGGGCGGGAGGGGTGGGTGCCCTCCAGGAACACATGGCCCCTTTCATGGAGCCTGGCCCAGCCGAGTCACGGCGGGCGGCACCGAGGGGCAGGACAGGCCTGGGCACAATCACGGCTCTGTCCCGGCGGCTTCCAGCCCACACGCACACACATGCACAAACACACAGCCTTACGCAAACCCAAAACACACCCCCGAGCAGCCACCCACACACTTGAACACACACGCAAATAGGCATCTATGCAGTCCTGGACACCCACCCATGAACTGTCTTACAGGTAGAGAAACCCAGACATTCGGCATTCTTTCAGCCCTCCCACTCACCCCAGACCCCTTGTGGCACCTGCCCCCCACACTGAACGCTTGGCACCACCCAGACAGCCCACACCATTAACCCTCTGCATATCCCTCTCTGAGAGCAGACTCAGCACCAGAAAGGGACCTTTGGGACTAATCCCCACAGACAGGAGGGGGAGAGACTGGGAAGGAGCACCCATTTTACAAAATGCTGACTGGGAGGCCAGACGGGGCCCCTTCTCCTGGCCCAAAGGGCAGCCCACATAGCTGCTACAGGCCTGAGCTGGTGTTTGGATGAATCATGGGTCTTCTTGACCCAGGAGAGTCAAGGGCAAGTCTCCAAGCCCTGATCTCCTGCCTTCTCTCCACCACCCCACTGCCCTGGGACCCCAGTCAGGCCACTGAGGCTGGCTTGGTTCCTGCTACTTTTCCCTCTCCTCCTCTATCTTCAACTTTCCCAGAGCCTTGCTGCCCTTTGAAACTACGCAGTTCCCTCCCTCTCTCCTCTATACCACCCTCACCTCCTCCAGGAAACCTTCTGGAACTGACTCCTAACTCACTTCTTTATCCTGCACTGCCTCCCCATTTGCAGCCTCTCCCACTGTCTCCCAGGACAGGGATGCTGGGTCCTTGCAACTGTGGCCCATCAGAGCCGGTAAGGGGCAGCAGAAGGAGACCAGGAGGTGGGGGGACTGGCGCTGTCAGAGTTTCCAAAACGCTGGCCAGCAAAGCCTCCGAGGCCTCTGTTGGGATGAGGGGGCTGCCCAGCCCGCACACTTCCAGCCGCACAAGGCAGCTTGTGTGAGTGCTTCCCTACCCAGCCCCACAGGAAGCAGCAGGGCCCAGCCCCTCAATAGGCTCATTCAGACCCCAGCTCTCTGGAAAGTACCTCTACTTCCTGCCGCCCTCCCACTCTGGCCTGGAGAACGAGGCTAAATGGGCTGCCCCTCCTCTTATGGGAGGGGGCTAGAGGCAGGTGGTTAGGTGGGCAGAGCCAGCCATCTCCTTCCCTTCCTGCTGCACGCTGGACCGACCATCCCCACATCCACCTTTGACAAAAGGGAGTGTGAATGGGTGTGAGCTTATTCCCCACCCCCCACCCCAGAGCTGGCCCCTTCCCCATGCATGCTAAACAGGTAAATGTTGAGCAACAGCCTTTCTGGGGGAGAGGGAACGAAGATCTGTAGCCTTTGCCTCTTCCGTGGTGTAACATCACCTGGCTGGCAGAATTCCTACAAACTTAACAGTCAGCTCTTACCAGCTGCTGTGAGCTCCAACCTGCAGGGGCCCCACCTTCTGTGCAGGGGCTGCCCTCAGTGCTGTGTGCTGCCTTTTGTTCTTAAGAATCAATGCTCTTGAGGCGCCTGGGTGGCTCAGTCTTTGGGCACCTGCCTTAGGCTCAGGTCGTGATCTCGGGGTCCTGGGGTCTAGCCCCACATGGGGCTCCCTGCTCAGTGGGGAGTCTGCTTCTCCCTCTCCCTCTGCCCCTCTTCCGCATTCATTCTCTCTCTCTCTCTCAAATAAATAAATAAAATGTTAAAAAAAAAAAAAAAGAATCAATGTTATTGCGGATGAGGTGCCCACCCCCTGTCAGTTCTCCCAGGGAGGGTCTGCCCCTCGCCAGCACCAGGGTGTGCTGACTCTGCTGGGCCATAGCCACGCAGATGGTTTTGTAGCCCTCAGCTGATCCCTTTAGCCCCTCAGACAAGGTTCTGGTGTTGCCCACAAGTGCTGGCAAGAGGGGATCCCTGGAGGGATTTCAGCTCCGCCCAAGAGGAAGAACGTTATCTTTCTTGGACATCCCTGTGGACTCCTCCAGTGGCTGATGCCACCTCCTCAGGTCAGGAACCAGCATGTATGTGGCTGGTGCCACATCATCCCTATCAAGGCCATCAGAAGCCCCAGAGAGATGAATCGCCTTTTTAAACCATTCCTGTCCCCGCCGCCCCCTCTGCCGCCACCCTGCCTTCCCTAGCCCTGGACCTCTGGGGGACAGAGTCAAAGTTATACTTGGCCTTAATCTCTGCAAAAAGAATAAACCAGAAATCATTGCAGCTGGTTGGAGGTCAAGGGAGGCTAATTTTAGGAAACAGTCTGGAGAAGGTGGCAACTTAAAAAGAGGAGGTATCTCAGTGTGGGACCAAAGGGGCCCTGCACAGTGACCACCAGCCTTGGGAAACCCCAGATATGGCCTGCTCAGGCCATCTGGACTTGGGCCCTCTGGCCTGCTCAGCAAACCTTCAGCCTTCCCAAGCCCTGTCTTTAGCCACAGACCCAGGCTCAGAAAAGCCAGCTGTAGTCATCAACGGCTCCCCAGCCATGGTGGAAACAATAGGGCCGGATCTGACCACTCACCAGGGACTATCAATAGCTCTGCAGCAGGAAGCAATATGGGGTGATGCAGGAAGTTTTAGCCCATTTGGGGTCCAGCACTGCACGTGGTCTCCATCTGGCCTCAGAGCCTTTGCTCCCAGTGGACTCAGTCTGACGAGTTGCCACCCCCACCCCCAAAGACATCTGGAAGCATGGCCCAAGAGAGAAGCCGGGATGGGTGGGCTGCCTTCTGAGCACCACAGTGGGAGGGCATGGCATGGAAAGCATTGCCCAAGAACCAAAGCATAGGGCATTTAGGAGAAGGAATTTGAGCAGGGATCAGTGTGGGGTAGGGATGGTTCTCCTGGAACTCCATTTCGGGGGCTATGACCATCAGGCCAGGTTACCCAGTCAAGGATGGTTTTCCTTTAGGCCCGAGAGGGACTAGACCCAGGATGGAGAATCCTCTAGGGCCCAGGGGAGGAGAGTTAGAGCTGGCCGAGGCCCCTGGCCCCAGGAACCTCTGAGGAGGAAACGTGAGTTGCTTGGAATGGGTCTGGCCTCCTTTGGAGCCAAGGTCTGGGCTGGACACAAGGTGAGGCTGTGCCTTCTGGTGCCAGGACCAAGCAGGTGATGGGCCACACAGAACCACGAAGCTGCACCAGCATGAAGTCCCTCCTGCAGCCTACTCATCCTCTGCAGCCCCTCTCCTCCTCCAGGCACGAGTCCGCACTTTGACCCCAGCCCCCTCTCTCACACAGCCTCCTTCTTCGGGGAGAACCACCTGGAGGTGCCTGTGGCCACGATTCTGACCGATATAGACCTCCAGCTACAATTCTCCACGTCCCAGCCTGAAGCCCTGCTTCTCCTCGCAGCAGGCCAAGCGGACCACCTCCTCCTGCAGCTCCACTCTGGATACCTAGAGGTCAGTGATGCCTCCCTGCTGGCCTCCTCCTCCAGCCCTGAATGGCCCCCCAACCAGCTGGGTGACCTTGTGTGAGCCACTTTCGCCCCGGGGTCTCTAGGTCTCCACTGTGAGGTGAACAACAGCACAGCCAAAAGCGTGGCTCCCTCGTGACCTGGCTGCGCCCTGCAGCCGTCCCCCCCACACTCCCACCGGAACCCCCCGGCCAGCCCTTTCCCTCGCTGCGGGCCTGTGCCCCAGGCCAGATGGCCGTCTCTGACCTCTCGCTGCCAGGCCCTCGCTCACCACACACCCTGGGCCTGGCCCTGCCCCACCCCCGTCTCAGCGCGTCCCCTAGCACTGCCCTGGGCTGGGTGCCCTCTCCTGGGGCTCAGCAACCCTGTGAGCACCCCTGCCAAGCACCAGTCACCCCGCCGTGCCGCTGTCTGTCCGTGACAGAAACAACCAGTATGCCAAGGCTTCTCCGTTTTCCCGTTTCATCCTGCCAGTCACCACAAGCTTTAGTAGCAAAGAGTCCTCTGGAGCTCTCTCTTGAGGCTCCCCCCTAACCATGAAGAGTTTGAGAACCTGAGGTCTTAGTCCAAATTTGGGAAAGCCATCAGCTTCCACACCCCAGTGGGGAGAGGACAAGGACGGTCAGAGCACCTGCTGCTGCCATTGCTTCTCACTGCCACAAGGTGTCACTGTTGAGCGAAGGCCAGGTACAGCCCAGGCCTGATGCTCTCGCTCTCGGCCAGGTACAGCCCTGTCTGTGGAGGTGCTCCGTACTTGGACTCGCAAGGCCACAGTTCTTAGTGCTCTGCTCTTCCAGTTCCCATACTCTGCCACCACCCATTCTACCATCCGGTCGTGGGAACACCACACCAGAGCCAGTTCTGGTGCCAATGTTGGAGAGACAGAACTGCGTTCTCCTCTCCCCAAGGATCCCTCATCCCAGATCCAGGAGCTTTTCTTTACGTAACCTTCAACACAGAGAGCACCCAGAATTGGGCTCTCCATCCCTGAGCAGTGAGCCTGGCTGCCCCTGTGGCCCCAAGGTGTTCAGGGGATTCCCAGGTGCTCATTATTCCAGGGGTGAATCTTCTGGATGCCAAGGTGATTTTCTGGTGGATCTCCCCCATAGGAAAGTTGGGGAGAGTAAAAAATGCAGACTGAATCTCTAGGAAAGCATCGTGCTATATGCCAGTTCTCTGATTCCCATCAGGAACCCCAGAGCCCATCTAGACCTGACTCAGAGATCACTTTGGTGAGTGTTTGGGGGATGAGTAGAGGTGGCAGGAAGGAGACAGTGGTGGCCTGAGAAGCCCCTGTCCCAGGACCTCCACTCTGGGCACTTTGCTGTGGCAGACCCGCTATGTTCTAACAGTAGAAGCAGATGAACTCAAAGTGCTGCCCCCACTCCCATTCCTCCATCTTTCCCCAGGTCAGACTCACCCTGGGCCAGGAGGAGCTGAGGCTGCAGACCCCAGCTGAGACTCTGCTGAGCAACTCCGCCCTCCACACCGTGGAGCTGACCGTTTCAGACAGCGAGGCCTTGATGTCCGTCGATGGGCTCCTGAACACCTCAGCCCCCATCCTGGGGGCTCCCCTGGAGGTCCCCTATGGGATCTTCCTGGGGGGCCCTGGGAGCCTTAGCCTGTCCTACCTGAAGGGAGCTAGCAGGCCCCTGAGGGGTTGTCTCCACGCTGCTACCCTCAATGGCCGCAACCTGCTGCGACCACTGACCCCAGGCGTGCACGAGGGCTGCGCTGAAGAGTTTTCCGCTGATGACAGTGTGGCTCTGGGCTTCTCTGGGCCCCACTCACTGGCTGCCTTCCCTGCCTGGAGCACTCGGGAGGAAGGCACCCTGGAGTTTATACTCACCACTCGGAGCCAACAGGCACCCCTGGCCTTCCAGGCAGGGGGCCGGCATGGGGATTTCATCTACGTGGACATATTTGAGGGCCACCTGCGGGCTGTGGTGGAGAAGGGCCAGGGCACGGTATTGCTCCACAACAGCGTGCCTGTGGCCGATGGGCAACCCCATGAGGTCAGCGTCCACGTGGATGCTCACCAGCTGGAAATCTCCGTGGACCAGTACCCCACACGGACTTCCAACCGTGGGGTCTTCAGCTATCTGGACCCACGTGGCAGTCTCCTCCTGGGGGGGCTGGACACTGACTCCTCTCGCCATCTCCAGGAACACCGCCTGGGCCTGGCCCCAGGGGCCGTCAATGCCTCGCTGCTGGGTTGCATGGAGGACCTCAGCATCAATGGCCAGAGGCAGGGACTCCGGGAAGCCTTGCTGACGCGCGGCATGGCGGCCGGCTGCAGGCTGGAGGAAGACGAGTATGAGGAGGACCCCTATGGCCCGTATGAAGCTTTCTCCACCTTGGCACCTGACGCTTGGCTGGCCGTGGAGCTGCCTGAGCCCTGCGTCCCTGAACCAGGGCTGCCTCCTATCTTTGCCAATTTCACCCAGCTGCTGACCGTCAGCCCGCTGGTGGTGGCCGAGGGTGGCACGGCCTGGCTCGAATGGCGGCACGTGCAGCCCACGCTGGACCTGAGCGAGGCCGAGCTCCGCAAATCTCAGGTGCTGTTCAGCGTGAGCCGCGGGGCACGCCACGGTGAGCTCGAGCTAGACATCCCCGGTGCCCAGGTGCGGAAAATGTTTACCCTCCTGGACGTGGTGAACCGCAAGGCCCGCTTCGTCCACGATGGCTCTGAGGACACCTCCGACCAGTTGATGCTGGAGGTGTCCGTGACAGCCAGGGGGCCCGTGCCCTCCTGCCTTCGGAGGGGCCAAACTTACATCCTGCCCATCCAGATAAACCCCGTCAACGACCCACCCCGTATCATCTTCCCACACGGCAGCCTCATGGTGATCCTGGAGCACACACAGAAGCCACTGGGGCCCGACGTTTTCCAGGCTTACGACCCAGACTCTGCCTGCGAGGGCCTCACCTTCCAGCTCCTTGGCACCCCCACCGGCCTCCCCGTGGAGCGCCGAGACCAGCCTGGGGAGCCAGCAACGGAGTTCTCCTGCCGGGAGCTGGAGGCGGGCAGCCTCGTCTATGTCCACCGAAGTGGGCCAGCCCAGGACCTGACGTTCCGGGTCAGTGACGGGCTGCAGGCCAGCCCTCCCGCCACACTGAAGGTGGTGGCTGTCCGGCCCACCATTCAGATCCGCCACAACACAGGGCTGCGCCTGGCCCAGGGCTCCGCTGCCCCTGTCTTGCCCGCCAACCTGTCAGTGGAGACCAACGCCGTGGGGCAGGATGTGAGCGTGCTGGTCCGAGTCACCGAGGCCCTGCAGTTCGGGGAGCTGCAGAAGCAGGGGGCAGGTGGGGCCGAGGGTGCCGAGTGGCGGGCCACACAGGCATTCCAGCAGCGGGATGTGGAGCAGGGCCGCGTGAGATACCTGAGCACTGACCCGCAGCATCGCACCGAGGACACCACGGAGAAGCTGGCCCTGGAGGTGCAGGTGGGCCAGGAGACCCTGAGCAATCTGTCCTTCCCAGTGACAATCCAGAGAGCCACAGTGCGGCTGCTGCGGCTGGAGCCGCTGCGCACTCAGAACACCCAGCAGGAGGCGCTCACCACAGCCCACCTGGAGGCCACCCTGGAGGAGGAGGCAAGCTCCAGCCCCACCACCTTCCACTATGAGGTGGTCCAGGCCCCCAGGAAGGGCAATCTTCGGCTACAGGGCACACGGCTCTCTGACGGGCAGGGCTTCACCCAGGATGACCTGCAGGCCGGCCGGGTGACCTATGGGGCCACGGCCCGCACCTCAGAGACAGTCGAGGACAACTTCCGCTTCCGTGTCACAGCCCCGCCGCACTTCTCCCCACTCTACACCTTCCCCATCCACATTGGTGGTGACCCGGACGCTCCCGTCCTCACCAACATCCTCCTCTCGGTGCCGGAGGGTGGCGAGGGCACCCTCTCTGCTGACCACCTCTTCGTCAAGAGTCTCAACAGTGCCAACTACCTCTACGAGGTCATGGAGCGGCCCCGCCATGGGAGGCTGGTTTGGAGGGGGGCACAAGACAAGGCCACCGCGGTGACATCCTTCACCAACGAGGACCTGCTGCAGGGCCGGCTGGTCTACCAGCACGACAACTCCGAGACCACAGAAGACGATATCCCCTTTGTGGCGACCCGCCAGAGTGAGGGCAGTGGTGGCATGGCGTGGGAGGAGGTGCGGGGCGTCTTCCGCGTGGCCATCCAGCCCATAAACGACCATGCTCCCGTGCAGACCATCAGCCGCATCTTCCACGTGGCCCGGGCTGGGCAGCGGCTGCTGACGACAGACGACGTGGCCTTCAGTGATGCCGACTCCGGCTTTGCTGACGCTCAGCTGGTACTGACCCGCAAGGACCTCCTCTTTGGCAGTATCGTGGCCGTGGATGAGCCAACGCGGCCCATCTACCGCTTCACCCAGGAGGACCTCAGGAAGAGGCGAGTCCTGTTTGTGCACTCGGGGGCCGACCGCGGCTGGATCCAGCTGCAGGTGTCTGATGGGCAGCACCAGGCCACCGCGCTGCTCGAGGTGCAGGCCTCAGAGCCCTACCTCCACGTGGCCAATGGCTCCAGCCTTGTGGTCCCTCAAGGAGGCCAGGGCACCATTGACACCGCTGTGCTCCACCTGGACACCAACCTCGACATCCGCAGTGGGGATGAGGTCCGCTACCGTGTCACAGCCGGCCCACACTGGGGGCAGCTGCTCCGGGCCGGCCAGCCAGCCACGGCCTTCTCCCAACAGGACCTGCTGGACGGGGCCATTCTCTACAGCCACGACGGCAGCCTCAGCCCTCGAGACACCCTGGCCTTCTCTGTGGAGGCAGGGCCTGTGCACACAGACGCCACCCTGCAAGTGACCATTGCCCTAGAGGGGCCATTGGCCCCACTGCATCTGGTCCAGCACAAGAAGATCTACGTCTTCCAGGGGGAGGCGGCTGAGATCAGAAAGGATCAGCTGGAGGTAAAGGGCCGGGGGACGGGCAGAGGTGAGAGGCCTGATGAAGGGGGCCCTTCTGACGAGCCCTCCTGCCAGGTGTGCTTGGCTGTTCGGGGATGAGCCTGAGGTGACTGCCAGGTCAGGCGTCTGTCCGTGCCCTGGGTCTGCACCTGCACACGTGCACTGGGGCGTGCCTGAGAGTCTCTGGGGGCGTTTGCGCGTCTGCCCACGAGCTATGTGTGCCTCCACACGTCAGGTGCACACACGCACATGCTGTGCTGACCGTGCGGGTTCCCGGGCCCCACCCAGACCGAGGAATCTCTGAAGTGGAGCCCGAGAATATGCATTCTAATAATAAGTTCCCTGGGAGATTTTCATGGGTACAGACTTTGAGGACCAGAGGCCTTGGAGACAGACTTCTTTGATCTCCAGGCTCCCGTGTCCTCAGCTCTTTTCCCAGACCCCAGTCCAGGCTAAGGACCTGGAGAGCTGCTGACCATCCAGGAACCTCACAGAGCAACCACAGGCCTTCCAGCAGGCCTACTGACCCAGTGTGTGACCTCAGGCCAGTCCTTGCCCTCTCTGCCACACTGCCTATTTCTGAGCCCTTCTGAGTGGTTCCGGCTGTCCGGATTTGGGGGCAGACTGTGACTAAACATGTCTGGCATCAGAAAGGCTTTGCCCTGAAGGAGGCATCATTTGAGCCAGGCTTTGAAGAGTCTGGGGTTTCAGTAGCAGGGAATGAGGGGACAGTATTCCCGGCAGAGAGAACAGAATTCTGGAATACAGACAGTATTCCAGGCAAAGGCACCGGATCAGGAGTGTGAGTTGGGGGTGACGTGTAGCCTTCTGTAGCTGGCCCATCAGGTGAGGGAGCCCGCAGTGGCCCTTGGGCGGGACCTGGGTCTTCTCGCCCCGTAAAGCCTGTACTGTGTGGCGCCCGTCCCTCTCAGAAGGATGGCACGCCCTCTGGTGGTGAAGAGTAGCAATAGCGGGGGCAGGGGCTGCCTCTGTGTATGTGTGTGTGCATGCGTGTTACAAGGGCGTGTTACGTGTGAGATGTACGTGTGTGTCTGTGTCCACACATCAGTGTGTGCTGACATTGCACATCTGTGTCACTGAATCTGGGGGCATGTGACAGGGTGGGGCAGCACGAGGGTACAGCCCCCACCCCCCTACCCCACCCCCAACCCCCGTGACCAGCTGCATGTCTGGGTGCTGTGTGTGTGAGCCTGAGAGCGCGTCTGTGCGTCTAAGCAAGCGGTGGTGTCTGCAGCCCTCCCCGGGAGATCGAGCCTGTTCTGGCCACCTAGGGACCATGACAGCCTCCCTCTGTGACCCTCCATTAACCAGGCAGCCCAGGAGGCAGTGGCACCCGCTGACATTGTGTTCTCGGTGAAGACCCCCCCGCGGGCCGGCTACCTGGTGATGCTGTCCCACAGCGCCTCGGCGGCCGGGCCGCCCAGCTTGGACCCGGTGCAGAGCTTCTCTCAGGAGGCGGTGGATGCCGGCAGGGTCCTGTACCTGCACTCCCGCCCGGAGGCCTGGAGGGACGCCTTCTCCCTGGATGTGGCCTCAGGCCTGGGTGCGCCCCTGGAGGGTGTCCGCGTGGAGCTGGAGGTGCTGCCTGCTGCCATCCCCCTGCAGACGCAGAACTTCAGCGTCCCTGAGGGCGGCGCCCGCACGCTGGCCCCTCCGCTGCTCCGAGTCACCGGGCCTTACTTCCCCGCGCTGCCAGGCCTGGAGCTGCAGGTGCTAGAGCCACCCCAGCACGGGGCCCTGCGGAGAGAGGACGGTCCCCGAGACGGGACCCTCAGCGCTTTCTCCTGGAAAGAGGTACAGCTCTCAGGGAGGCCCTGGGCGTGCAGCTCGGCTCTGGGCGCAGGGCTGGGGGGAAGCCGTGGGCACTCCCCGTCTGGGCGAGTGGCCCACAGGAGACAGGGCGTTCCCACGGAGGGAAGGCCTCTGCTTTAGATCCCTTACGTCACTCCCTCCTCTCTGGGCAACTGGAAATGACTGTCCCATCTCCCTGACTCCTTCGGTCCTTCACTCTGGGAGAAATGGCTGTCCCCATTTCCACCTGCAGGAACGGAAGCTCTGAAGGAGTCAGGCTCCCCCCACACCCAAAGGCAGAGCAAGAAAGGTGCTCAGCTTGAGACTCACCCTGCTCTCGGGCCTGCTGGGGCCTGACCTTCAGCCTTGGGCCTGCCTGCAGGTGGAACAGCAGCTGATCCGCTATGTGCACGATGGGAGTGAGACGCTGACAGACAGCTTCGTCCTGGTGGCTAATGCCTCAGAGATGGACCGCCAGAGCCATCCTGTGGCCTTCACTGTCACCATCCTGCCCGTCAACGACCAACCCCCCATCCTCACCAAAAACACAGGCCTGAAGGTGAGAGCAGCCTGGGGTTACCTCCTACATCTCTTCCCAAAGAGAGGCCCAGCACATAGCTTCCCCTCTCTGAGCCTCAGTTTCCTTCTCTGAAGGAAACATGCCTCACTAGGTTGTTGGGAAGAGAGAAGAGTTATTGCACTGAAAATAGAACACAGGTATGAGACTTTGTTATTGAAGACTTATAAGTGCAGCAGGCAGCCTTGTGAATGGCCATCCTTGGCCCTGCTGTTCCCTGGACTCACCTTCAGCAGGAGGCTTTTTCTATGGCTCAGGACCAGAACTCTTGAAGAAAGTTCTTTCAAGCCCTTAAGGGTGGACTCCAGGTAGAGAGTGGTTAAGCTCCTCACTTGCACCCACAGCCGGTGAAGGCCACACCTTGGCTTCCCGAGCTCCTGCCCCTTACATCCCCACAGAACAGCAGTGCCCTCACTCAGCAGAGGTCAAAGCTGGGGCCCAGGCAGGTCACAACATTTCTCCACGATCACAGAGGTAGTTACTGGTGGAACAGAAAGGGCATGGCTTGACCAAGATCACACAACATAGTGGATGGGCAGGGCCTTGATGCCAGCTTCTAGGGTCAACAGGAGCCATGGAAGGATTCAGAAGAGAGCTGACTTGGGCTGTCTGTGATATGAGGCACTGGACACCTTTGATGGTAGAGGATGTACCTGAGGGAGCAGTGCAGCGGTGGGGAGGCCAGCAGAGTGGTGGGCAAACGGGCTAACGGCTGCCCTGGAACCACAGGCAGATGGTGCTGTGTGGCATCTTGGCCAGCAGGTGATGCTGTCCACCGTGTTTGTGCCAGGAGCCCGGCACTCCACGCGGTGGTCCCCCCTCCGGAGCTTGGCCTGGGGGTAGCCTGGGGCTGGGAGGAGGTGCCCTGGAATCCCAGAGGGCTCGGTTTTCCCTGTATGGGAGCCCCTCCCCGAGGCTGCCCAAGTTGCTGACCCAGCCAGAGTCACGTAACAGGATCCCAGAAATGGGATCCTGCCCTGCTGGCAGGCGGGAGGCCGAGGGGGGCTGCTCTTCGCTCTGAGCATGGGGAGGGGCTGCCCACACCCCTCCCCGACCTGGTTGGGCCTCGGGACTGCACTGAAAACACCTGAGCCCTCATGGCAATGCTGCTTCCATGCCAAGGGACAGGGGCCAACCCTCAGCCCCTCCAGCCTCTGTGCCTCCCATGCCCTCCCTCACCTGGAAGGGGAGCCCATTCATAAGCATCCTGGAGAGGCAAACTCACCATTCCCAGAGTGTGCCCAGCCCATGCCCAGACTCACTATGGAGGGTCTAAATGGAGACCCCCGCCCTGCCAGTGAGAAAGAGCCACTCAATGATAGCGGCACAGTCAGTAAGGGCTGGGGTGGGGGTAGTTCTCGGAAGGGAGAGAACTTGGTGAGGGTAAGAGCTGGGGGCTTCCTGACATCGGGGACATGAGCTGGCCTTGCAGGACAAGCAGGATTAGGGCAGAGAGAAGGGAGCCTGGGCCCTGGGGTGACAGGGGAAGGTGAATGGGGTGGAGGGCCCTTTGTGAGGGGGAGCCCAGCATGGCCCGGGCCTGAGCTGCAGTGTGATGGTGGTGGCCTCGGAGCCAGGGAGGAGCAAGGTGGGAGAGCGTGGGGGGGACAGAACCTTCACAGGCCTGTGTCCCCAGATGTGGGAGGGGGCCACGGTGCCCTTCCTTCCAGAGGCCCTTAGGGGCACAGACAGCGACTCAGGACCGGAGGACCTGGTCTACACCATCGAGCAGCCCAGCAACGGGCGGGTGGTGCTGAGGGCGGCGCCAGGCACCGAGGTCCACAGCTTCACCCAGGCCCAGCTAGACGGCGGGCTCGTGCTGTTCTCGCACACAGGTGGGTACTCAGAGGTGCGGTGCCCTGAGGATGGGGAGGCACCATGGGCCAGTGAGACCCAACTCCACCCCCATCCGCAGGCGCCCTGGACGGCGGCTTCCACTTCAGCCTCTCCGACGGGGAGCACACTTCCCCCGGACACTTCTTCCGAGTGACGGCCCAGAAGCAGCTGCTTCTCTCCCTGGAGGGCAGCCGGACGCTGACCGTGTGCCCAGGTGGGTCTGCCAAGCACGGCATGCCTTGTAGGCCAGGTGACACGCCAGGGTTACGCTGTTTCACCAGCAGTCGCAGACCTCGCCCTGGCTCCTGGTCCAAAGCCAACAGGCCCCTTCTGCCTCTCACAGGGTCGGTCCAGCCGCTCAGCAGCCAGAGCCTGAGAGCCAGCTCCAGTGCAGGCACCGACCCCCGGCACCTGCTCTACCGTGTGGTGCAGGGCCCCCGGCTGGGCCGGCTGTTCCATGCCCAGCAGGGCAGCACTGGGGAGGCCCTGGTGAGCTTCACTCAAGCCGAGGTAAGGGCCCAGCTCTCTATAGCCACCACGTAGACTCCATTCAGCCCCAGGTGGCCCACTCTGCCTGTGGACGTGGACACCGCTCCCACATCGTGGGTAGCAGACACTCCCTGGCCCCACCATGGCCCAGGCTGTGCCTGCCTTGCCCTGCGGGAGCCACCAGTCCAGTAGGCAGAGGGTGCGAGAGATCCCGGCCCAGAGCAGGGAGAGGGTCCTGGGGCATGGCTTCCAGAAGCCGCAGGTGGACCTTAGGAGCTGGAGAGGGTGCTCTGAGTCAGGGACACTAGGATACCCCCGTGGCTAGTGAGGGGCCGTACTTGGTTCAGGGGTGGAATTTGACATGAAGGCAGCTGTTGGGCTTGTGAGAGATGTGAGCCTAGGGCTCAGGTCAGAAGGCTGCAAGAAGTTGAGCGGATCCTGGGAGCAGATGAGTGGACAGAAGGCAGCCGAAGAGGTTGAAGTGGGAGTGAAGCTGCCATCTCTCTTCAGGGCCTAGCTGTCCAGAGCATGCCAGAGGCCACCGGTTAAACACTAGAACTCTTAGCCATGGGAAGAGGTATACTGCTAGGTTGCTGGGAGCCTCTGCGCCAACTGTGCAGGGGAGGGGGGGCGGGGGGGGCGGGCAGCCATCGCTAAAATTAACACCCCTTCCAAGTGCAGGAGGTACTTACTGTGAGTGCCTGGCAGCCTTGGCTCTCTCCAAAGGTAGCGCAGGTGGGGAACTTTCAGGCATCAGTGAAAGAGGTGGCTCTAACAAGGGGTACACAGCAAAAGGTCTCACGTCGGCATCCCCCGGGCCCAGGTTTTCTGTTCTCATGAACCCCTGGCTTCTGCCCAGATCGCCTTCCCACAATGAGGGATTCAGCAGGGTGGTGGCTGCAGCAGCTAAGCACCCTGAGTCCCTGGGAGCCACTGTCATCGGATGCCCAGGAAGGGGGAGGGAAGAGGACCAGGCCCTCAGGGTCCCGCCCCCACCCACAGTGCTTTCCCCACACCCCAGCAATACGTGGGATGAACGTGAATGGCCACCAGGGGGGCAGGATGACAGTGCCACCCTGGGAAGCTGGGAAGAGGCTTCGTGGCAGAGACTTTGTCCTGGCTTTGGGGCAGGGGCAGGGCAGGACTGGGTCGTGTCTTGACAGCACCATTGTCCTGCAATACTGAGTTGGGTGGGGCAGGGATCAGGTGTCCCGTTTTGCAGACAAGGAAACTGAGGCTTACGGAGATCAGGTGACTATTCAGAGCACACGGCTAGTAAGAGGCAAAACCAGGATTATGGCTTCTGACTGCTAGTCCAAGATTTCTCTCACCAGAGGACACCGCTTGCTCCCAGAGCTCAGAGACCCCTCCCCATCTTGCCTGTGATTTGCCTCACCCCCAATCAGACACCTCCCATCCACAGAAGTTCCTGCAGGCATCCATCCTCCCACCCCACTCCTGGGGGTCTCCACTTCCTGCCACCCTTCAGCCTGGGCCAGAGGTTACAGCTGACAGTCCCTGCGGGCCACATCTGGCCCACAGATGTGTTTTATTTGGCCTGCACAAGGCATTTAATATTTTTAAATTAATGGTCAACATATAACCTTTGGGGGATTTCACACATACACACACATACACACACAAACACACACAAAAGCCTGATTTCCAGTTTCTTTTTTTTTTTTTTTAAGATTTTATTTATTCATTTGAGAGAGTGAGTGCAAATAGGGGGGAGGGGCAGAGGGAGAAGCAGACTCCCCGCTGATTGGGGAGCCCAACATGGGGCTCGATCCCAGGCCCCTGGGATCATGACCTGAGCTGAAGGCAGATGCTTAACCATCTGAGCCACCCAGGCGCCTGTGATTTCCAGTTTTTTAAAAGGCTCTGTTCCCTCCTACAGCAATCAGCTGAGGAGTAGCCACCCCTTTCACCCAGGCTCTGCTCCCCCTTTAGAACCAAGGTGATCCCCCTTCAGCATGTGGGTGGCTCCCGTGTTACATGGGGAACTGCTCACCAGGTCATCACTACCCTGCAGTCCTAGAGTCTCCCACACGCTGGGACCCTGGGTTCCATCTCAGTATTGCACAGCCCTGTTTTCTGAGAAGAAGAAATAGATAAGCCACGAGGACACATTTGGATTAGCAGGGGGAGGGAGCATAAGTGAGGAATATCCCCAGGTGTTTACCAGGCATACAGCCCTGGAGAACAGCAGGTATGGTGGCAGTGGGTAGGAGGCGAGGTCGCAGGGTAAGGGGTCAGAGTGGGATCTTTGTGGTCAAAGGAGGAGCCGCTGTACTATCTGAGCAAGAAGGACAGTAACCTTAACTTACACTTTAAAAGTCTCACTCTGGCTTCAATGTTAAGAACAACTGTAGGGGAGGGATCAGGGGCCAAAGCTGGGACACAGGAGGCCATGGCAATAATCCAGGCCAGAAGTGATGGCATGGGAGAGAGGGAGGAGTCAGGGATGACTCCAGGGTTTTGGGCCCGAGCCACTGCAAGAACAGAGCTGCCATCATGTGAAGCGGGAGGACGAGCAGGGGTACACAGGTCAGGAGTGGGTCTGCTGCAGGCCACCTTTGAGCCAGCCCTTAGACATCCACACCGAGCTGCCGGAAAGCAAGTGGAAATGTGAGTCTGGAGTTTGGCAGAGAGCAGTCTGGGATGGAGATAGAAGTAAGGGGGTCATCTGCAGAGCTGACCTAGGAGGACACGTGGGATGTGCCTGTAGATGGAGAAGACTCTAAAGGCCAAGCTATACACAGTGGAGAGAAGAGGGGGGAGAACGGAGTCTGTGAAGGAGCAATTAACGAGGCAGGAGGAAAACATGAGAGTGGGACACGCTGGAAGCCAGCGGATGGTAGAGGAAGGAATGCACAATTATATCCAATGCTGCCAAGCAGGTGAGTAACACGAGGCCCATGAACCCACCATTGGATCTAACAATGCAGATGCTGTGGGCACCTTTGGGTGAGAACAGGAGGAAAGGCCTGGGTAGACTGCACTCAGGACAGCATGCGGGAGATTATAGACTATTCTTTTTGGAGTTTTGCTGTAATGGAGAGCAAAATGGAGGAGAGGGGTGACAAATTTGGTGGAAAAAGTGAAGTCATGAGTCTTTTCTTTAAGAGGGAAGAAAGGGGGTGCCTGGCAGGCATGGTCAATTAAGCATCTGAGTCAGTTTCGGCTCAGGTCACGATCTCAGGGTCGTGATCTCAGGGTTGTGATCTCAGGGTCATGGGATCGAGCCCTGCGTTGGGCTCTGTGCTCAGCGCAGAGCTTGCTGGAGTTTCTCTCTCTGCCCCTCTCCCCTGCACGCGCACAGGCTCTTGCTCTCTCTCTCAAAAAATAAATAAGTACAACTTTAAAAGAAAAAAAATGGAAGTGGAAGAGAGAATAACATGGTTGAGTAATGATGGGAATGTTCCCTTTTGGGGGGAAATTGTTGCCATAGGAGAAAGAAGGAAGATGGTAAACTGGTGTCTTCAGTGGGGAAGAGGGGCAGGGACCCAGGGCAGAAGTGGAAGGACCAGCTGTCAACAGAAGCGATAGAATACTGCTTTCCCTGGGGGCTCAGAGAGGTGAGGTGATTTGCCTGAGGTGGCAGAGCCCAGATAAGGCATCGGGCTCCAGGGCCAGTCCCCTCACTGCCACATGACTGCCCATGTGACCCACTGGTGAGGGAGAGCACGGGTTACAGACATGGGCCAGGGAGAGCCAGGAGAGCCGAGAGTGAGGCTGGGCACGGAGGGCTCGTCAAGGAGCCTGGAAGGGGCTCCTGGGCACCACGGGCTCAACCTGCCTCTCATCCCAAAATGGGGTGCCCCCACAGGTGTATGCTGGGAATGTTCTATATGAGCACGCGATGCCTCCTGAGCCCTTCTGGGAGGTCCACGATACCCTGCAGCTCCAGCTGTCGTCACCCCCTGCCCCCGATGTGGCCACCACCCTTGTTGTGGCTGTGTCTTTTGAGGCTGCCTGTCCCCGGCGTCCCAGCCGCCTCTGGAGGAACCAAGGTGAACCGCATGATGGGCTGGCACAGTTGGGGGGACCCTGGGCGGGTCCAGAGAGGAGGGGACACAAGACCGGGGTCAACAGCTCCCATGTCAGTCCCCAGGACCTGGGAAGTTAAGGGAGGGTGAGAAGGTGGGGACACTTTGAGGTCAGAGAGAAGACATGATCCTCATCCTCCAGGGGACCCTGAACCCCACCCTGGGGTACCTGGTCTGAGGGAAAAGGCACAACCTTGCCGTGGAGGTCCTGGTCTGAGGCTCTGAGGCCTTTCTTCAGTGGACAGGACCTTCATAGCCTCCGTCCCACCCCCAGGTCTCTGGGTCCCCGAAGGCCAGAGGGCTGAGATCACCACGGCCGCCCTCGATGCCTCCAACCTCCTGGCCAGCGTTCCATCACCCCAGCGCCCAGAGCATGACGTACTCTTCCAAATCACACAGTTCCCCACCCGGGGCCAGCTGTTGGTGTCTGAGGAGCCCCTCCACGCCGGCCGGCCCCACTTCCTGCAGTCCGAGCTGGCTGCAGGGCAGCTGGCCTACGCCCACGGCGGCGGGGGCACCCAGCAGGATGGCTTCCGATTCCGTGCCCACCTCCAGGGGCCGGCGGGGGCCTCCGTGGCGGGACCCCAAACCTCAGAGGCCTTCGCCATCACCGTGCGGGACGTGAACGAGCAGCCACCTCGGCCACAGGCGTCCGTGCCGCTCCAGCTCACCCGGGGCTCCCGCGCGTCCGTCTCGCGGGCCCAGCTCAGCGTGGTGGACCCGGACTCAGCGCCCGGGGAGATAGAGTACGAGGTGCAGCGCGCCCCCCTCAACGGCTTCCTGAGTCTGGCGGGGGCCGGCCCAGGGCCCGTGACCCGCTTCACACAGGCTGACGTGGACGCCGGGCGGCTGGCCTTCGTGGCCAACGGGAGCAGCGTGGCCGGCATCTTGCAGCTGAGCGCATCCGACGGGGCCAGCCCTCCCGTGCTCGTGTCCCTGGCCGTGGATGTCTTGCCGTCGGCCATCGAGGTGCAGCTGCGTGCGCCCCTAGAGGTGCCACAGGCCCTGGGGCGCTCCTCACTGAGCCGGCAGCAGCTGCGGGTAGTGTCAGACCGGGACGAGCCGGATGCTGCCTACCACCTCTCCCAGGGGCCCCGGTTCGGGCAGCTCCTTGTGGCCGGGCAGCCCGCCGCCACCTTCAGCCAGCTCCAGGTAGACCAGGGGGAGGTGGTCTTCGCCTTCACCAACTTCTCCTCCTCTCGCGACCACTTCAGCATCCTGGCGCTGGCCCGAGGTGCCAACGCGTCAGCCACAGTGAACGTCACCGTCAGGGCTCTGCTGCGCATGGGAGCGGGTGGGCCGTGGCCCCAGGGGGCCACCCTGCGCCTGGACTCCACTGTCCTAGATGCTGGCGAGCTGGCCAACCGCACGGGTAGTCTGCCCCGTTTCCGGCTCCTGGCAGGACCCCGGCATGGCTACGTGGTCCGCGTGCCCCGGGCCAGGACGGAGCCCAGGGACAGCCAGCTTGTGGAGCAATTCACCCAGCGGGACCTTGAGGATGGAAGGCTGGGGCTGGAGGTAGGCAGGCCGGAAGGTCGGTCCCCTGGCCCCACGCGCGACAGTCTCACTCTGGAGCTCTGGGCGCAGGGTGTCCCCCCCGCCGTGGCCTCGCTGGACTTTGACACTGAGCCTTACAATGCAGCCCGACCCTACAGCGTGGCCCTGCTCAGTCTCCCCGAGCCTGCTCAGACAGAAGCAAGGAAGCCAGAGAGCAGCACCCCCACGGGGGAGCCAGGCCCATTCACCTCCAGCCCCATGCCCACCGTGGCCAGTGGGGGCTTCCTGGGCTTCCTGGAGGCCAATATGTTCAGTGTCATCATTCCCGTGTGCCTGGTCCTCCTGCTCCTGGCACTCATTCTGCCCCTGCTCTTCTACCTCCGCAAACGCAACAAGACGGGCAAGCACGACGTCCAGGTCCTGACTGCCAAGCCCCGCAATGGCCTAGCCGGCGACACCGAGACCTTCCGCAAGGTAGAGCCGGGCCAAGCCATCCCGCTTACAGCAGTGCCCAGCCAGGGGCCCCCAGCAGGGGGCCAGCCCGACCCCGAGCTGCTGCAGTTCGGCCGGACACCCCACCCTGCTCTCAAGAACGGCCAGTACTGGGTGTGAGGCCTGGCCCGGGCCCAGATGCTGATCAGGCCGGGGACAGGCTTGCTCGGGCCCCGGCCCCATTGCTCCCATGCCCTGGCGCTGAGTATCCCGAGAGCCAGAGATACCTGGGGACATGTGCAGTGGAGGGTGCTGGGAGGAAGTCCCAGGGGTCCGGGACCAAACAGAGTCAAGAGCTGGACTCCCCCCAGCTTTCTCCATGCCTGGAGAAATGCAAGGGGGCGGGCCAAGGTCAGAGGCATGCTTGGAGTCAGTCCCCCTGCCCTGGAGCTAGTTTGGGCTGTCAAAACCAGAGTGACCTCCTAGATACGTCAGGATTCTGGATCCTGGGTCTGTGATCTTGGGTAAGTCACAGCTGACCCATGCTGCTAAAAGGGCAAGGAGAGGAGAGGGTCGGGGAGATAGACGGGGATTCCTGGCTTTTCCACTCCAAGACAGGCCTCCCTTTGTCTCTGTCCCAGAGTTGATGGGAAAACTTTTTCCCCTGGTTTTTTAGGGAGATGGTATTCCCTGGAGTAGAGGGCAGGAGGAGGGAGCCCCTCCACTCTCTAGGAGACATAAGCCAGTAGAATAACATATTCAGGGTGCGAGATGGGGTGGGTTGCTCTGGGGATGGGTTTATTTAAGGGGGATTGCGAGGAAGCTATTTAACACAGTGTCGAGCTAGCCCAGACTGATGGAGCCCCTGAGAGTGTGGGATGGAGGAAAGTCTGAGGCCACTTCATACCCAGAGCCCCACCTTGACAGGCTGAGGGCTAGGTAGGCAGTATGAGTCTGTGGCCCCGGACCAGGCTGGGCTGTGGAGGGGGCAGGGCCTCAGGCCGGGGGCCGCTGCAATGTCTGTGCTCGCCCAAGGACTGGGGGGTGAGCAGCTGGGGGCACTCAACTCCATGGGGCCTGGATAAATGGTGCTGTGGAGGTTCTGGACAGCTGTGTGTTATTTGTCTGACCATGCACTGGGCCCTTGTCCACACCGGCCTGCACTCCCCAGGGGCAGGCTGTCCCACCAGGCCCCAGCCTGCACGCTGGACAAGGCCACATGAGCCCTAAATTACCACCTCCAGGGGCCTTTCAAATCTCCTCTGTCCCTACCTGTGTAGGCAGGTGGGCCAGTCTTTGTGGGATGGGACCAAAGCCCTTTAGTTTAGTAGAGATAGGCTAGGCCCCCTCCAAGGAGCTCAAAGAAACAATGAAATCAGGAGATGTATTCAGTGTCCCAGCCATAGATTTCTTAGCCTGAGTTTTGGCCTCCACAGCCTCATCCCTCTGCACCTACCTCTCAAGCGGTTGGAGTGGCAAAGGTCAGGAGACGGGAACGTAGGGATCCCAAGGCTGGGACCTGGTGCTTCGGGGGAGACGAGGGGACCACCACTGGTGCCTTCCCTTGACTCCCTGGAGATTTTCACAAGGAAGATTTCTATTGGTCTCCACCCCCCAACAAGAAGACCAAGGAAGGGTGCTCCTCCTCGAAGGCAGGGTAAGCAGCAAGGATTCTGAAAAGCCAGCTGTCCCGAAAGGCTGTCCTCTGGTTAGAGAGGGATTTGAGATACAGGGTCTCCAGAAGACCCTCTATGAGCTACTAAGGAGTCACCACCTTCTGCCCCTCTCCCTTTTGAGGGTTATGGGCAATGAGGACAGATTCTGGGTCCCAGGTGACCCTGCCTGGCAGTAAGCTGAAGTCCTCAGAGGAAACGCAGCGTGGGAGGTGTGCAAGCTCTGGGGTGTCAGAGCCCGGGGCCCGAGCACAGCTAGATTGGGGGTGGAGAGCCCCAGCCAGCACTTGACAGCTGACCGGTGTCTGGGGAGCAGAATCACCTCTTCCCTGTGTCTCCATATCGGTAACATCTGACCCAGGAACTAGGGCAAGAGAGGAAACTCCCTCCTCCCCACTGTGCTGTCCCTAGAGTACCTGCCAGGACGCCTCTCAGCAGCCCCTTCCCATCTCGGCATCCCCCAGATCCTCCTCCACTCACAAGACTGGGGCAGGTCACCTGGAATCCTGGCATATCACTGCTGAAAGGGCCCCCAGGGGACCAAGGGCCGGCTGAGAAGAGAGAGGGTGCTGTCCAGTCACACACAGCCAGGCAGCATTAGAATAGACCAGACCCCAAGGCCCAACCAGCTCTTTTTGCCACACTGAAGAGCCTGCACCCAAGGCCCGTCTCCAGGGCCCATAGATGAGGACCCCCACAGAGATCCCTCTACACCAGAAGCTCAAAATCCTGGCCTGGCTTCCTGCTACAGCCTAGTCTCTCTGGCACCCCTCGGGCCAGCCTCATACAAGGGGCCCTGCCAAGGGTGTCTCCACACCACATCCCATGCGCTCTGCCCTGCCTCTTCCTGGAGCTCGGGGCCGGATCCTCAGGGCCCTAATATCTGGCGCCAGTCTCCACCCAGGGCGACCAGTTTCCCTGGGAGTGTAAGCTGAGACAAGGGTGACAGACCCGCCAGGCAGGATCTGGCCTCATCTCCTATTTCCCTCCCCCCGCCCCCAAGACTGACGACACCCTCTCCGTTCACTCAGCCCAGCCTGCCCTGCCCACCCCCCACCCCCCTAGGGAGCTGGCACAGGCTGACACTGCTCCAGCTCCTTTCAGCCCATGCTGGACAGTGGGCTAGTACCCAGGGCATTGTGCACACAGCACCATGAGGACCTGGGAGAGGGTCTTCCACTGGAACGCCAAACTTGGAACCCACTCTAAATGTAGGGCCTCGATTTATGTAAATCCCTTGCAGATTTCAGATAGGCACCCAAGGCTTAAGGGGATTGCTATCCACTTTGCAAAATAACTCACTATCCCCTTACTTAAGAAGCTAGCTCCTCCCAGGCACTGAGATAGAAGCGAACCTGTGCACAAGAGTTTAGGAATATCTGGGAGCACTCTGACCCTCTTCTTCACACACACACGCACGCACACACACACACACACACACACACTGCACTTACGCACACAGCTGTGTACCTTTAGACCTTCAGACACACAGCACACACCTGCCTATGTAATACATCCACCCACACAGAGATACAGGTGCACGCACAAGCTTCGGAGCTAAGTACTCCTCACCTGCGGGCCCCCTACAGTCCTCAGAGCTGGCCATGTGGAGCCAAGGGCTAGGACTCCCTGACCATCCAGAGACCCAAACTGACATCAGCAGAGCCAGGAAGTGGAACCACAGCAGGCGGGGGTGTGGGGAACAGGGGGATGGCCAGAGGGCCCAGTTCTTGGGGTCCCCAGCTTGGAAGTCCTGCCCACCACCCAAAATGCTTTAGCCTCTTAGATGCTAAAGAAGGGGCTCCCTTAAGCCCCTCTCCTCATGCTAGGAGCTGGCCCCTCAAGTGGAGCTGCTATGGCAGCTGTGGACCCCACAGAGCTGGAACCATCATCCCCCAAGAGGAAGCACGAGGCATGGATCTGCACCCCCTCAACTCCACCTCTCCCGTTGGGGGTGGGAACTGCCAGGGATGCTGGCATCTTCTTCTGGGCCCCGAAGATTCAGGATCTTAAAGGAATGGAGGTACTTCAGCAGCTCCCAGAATGCTCCGGTTAGGTCTCCCATTCCTTGCCAGAACAGGTGAGGAAGCCCTGGCAAAGGATTGGAGCCAGGATGGGAACCAGACCTGCTGGAGGCCTCTCTCCACAGCCCCTCTCCTTCCTCGTTAGTATAGTGGTGAGTATCCCCGCCTGTCACAGCCCCTCTCCTACCCAAGGTTCCCTTGGAGTTAACACCATCCCTGTCACTAAACCACTAGGATTAGTGGGGCATTGGCAAGGGCATTTTGTGCCAAAAATGTTGTGGGAGATGCCCATAGGAGTCCACCCAGCCCTTCCGAAGAGTCCCAGACATGCCACTGAGTAACTACCACACCATGACGTGTGCCCTAACCCAAGGCGTGTCAACAGGCTGCTGAGGGAAGCCCATCGTGGGAAGGCAGCTGGCTCTGCCTGCTTCCCTCTTTCCTGAGAGAGTGTGGGATCTTTCCACAGAAGGGACAGCCATGCGGCTGCTAAAGCTGAGCATGCCCAGCTACCTCGTGGTCTCATTGCCCTTCTCGGTGTCATGAGGTACAGTACTTATGATAGCTGCTGTCCTCAATAAGGATACCAGCTCCTCAGGGCACCCCGGGGAGCTCAGCCGGTTAAGCGTCCAACTCTTGATTTTGGCTTGGGTCATGATCTCAGGGTGGTGAGACTGAGCCCTGTGCTGGGTGTGGAGCCTGCTTAAAATACTCTCTCCCTCTGCCTCTTTGCCCCTCCCATCATGCACGTGCTCTCTTAAAAAAAAAAAAAATGCCACCTCCTCAGAGGGCCGCCAGGATAACTGGTGGGTTGTTGTGCCGTGTTCCTTCACAATGCAGATGTCCTAAGACCCCCCGAAGACAAAAGTAACCCTTGGTCAAATCATCCTATGGCCAAGAAGGGACTTTTCTACCCAAACATAGCCTCAGCTGGGGGCTCAAGGAGTTCCCATGCCCCTCAACCTGAGCACTGCCAGCTCTGTTAGCCCAAAGCCTAGAGCTAATCCAAGGCTTCCTTTGGATGCCTTGTGAGGTCACAGAGGGCTCAAGTGACCCTGGGTCCTGAAGGCCCAAGCTGCACGGACTAAGTCTTTGTTGCTCAAAGTGCGGTCCATGGACCAGGAGCACCAGAAGCATGTGGGAGCTTGTTAGAAATAAGAACTCCTGGAACGCCTGGCTGGCTCAGTCAGAAGAGCGAGCGTGCGACTCTTGATCTCAGGGTTGTGAGTTCGAGCCCCACGTTGAGTGGAGAGATTACTTAAAAATAAAATCTTCAAAAAAGAAAAAAAAAAAAGAGGACTCTAAGGCCTCACCCCAGATCAGCTGAAACAGACTCTGCATTTTAACAAATACTAAAGTTTAAGACACTTTGACTTAGGTCCTTCACCTCCAAATGGAGAAACAGAGCTGAGAGAGGCAGGGACCAGGCCAAGATCATAGTAAGTCAATGACAGAGCTAGAAAGAAGTCAGACCCCATGATCCAGTTCCCGAGTTTTGTCTTTCAACTCAAGCTGTCCATCCTTCTTCCCCACACTCTTCTGAAGTCCCTATGTCCCCTGCAGATTTGGGCGGACAGGGTTCTGTTGTGGGGATTCCTGCTCAGGGGCCTCCACTGAGGACAAAAGGGAAGCACAGGAGGACGAGGCTGGTAGCCAGGCCTGATCCATTGGGGAGGGTCTGCAGAAGAAGCCCACTTCCACCTCACCTCCCAAAGACAGGTTCCCTGGAAAGTGCAGCAGCCCCCTACCACCCTGCCTTCTGCAGTCCAGCTAGTCCCTCCCTCCCCACCTGTCCGGGTTCCACCTGCAGAGGGAGGGACAGAAGGAGGGGTCTGGCCAAGGCCCCCCAGTCAGTGCATTGGGTCTCCCCCACAGTAGAGCATCAACAGGCAGCAGAGGAAGGACAAAGAAGCTACCTGTCAGGCCACTGCGTGGGCCCGGTCAAGAAGGAGGGCATGGGCCTCCCATAGCACTCTGTCCTGTCCTGCAGAGGGAGACTGGACCACTACCTGTCCCTTCTGGACCCCAGAACAAATGCTTGGCCCCCCAGCCAGCATGCTGTCTTGGTGCTGTGCATGCCTTTGGGACCCCCAACTGCCCTCCCCCGCCCAGGCTGCTGAGGCCCCCAGCCCCCTGTCCTTGCAGTAAACATAGGTCAAGGCTGTGTGCCCACGGGGGGCAATGTCCAGCCGGGCCCGGGGCTAGGTACATAGCTGATGCTCGGTAAACATCTACTGCCAGCATATAGCCCCTCCTTTCCCACTGTCCAAAAGGTCTCTAACCATGATCCCACCCAGACCCCATATCCTGACTTCCCATCTGGTTCCCCTGGCTTCCCTCATCTCTAGGAGTGCTAGCAGGGCTCCCAACCACTGCTCTGGCCCCCAGACCCCTCCCAGAGCCCAGGCAGACCTGGCCCCAGGTCCTAAGTTTCTAAGGAGCAGGTTTAATCTGTCCCTGCCAGACCCTTGAGCACTCACTTCTCTCTTCCTCCATACGCACCAGCGGCTCCCTCCTACCAGATACCTGGGGTCTAGCTGCTCAGAAGCACATGGGCAGAACACTTTGACCAAATCATATGTGGGAGCCTACCACCGATGGACTCAAACTGATTAAATGGGACAGGAGGAGGAGACAACCCAGAACCGCCTTACACTTGCCTTCCCCTGCCGCTACACGTCCTCCTCAGAGCTCCAGGAGCCACTGGCCACTGTGCCCGCTGTTCTAACCACTGTAGGGCTCACCTGATCCCAACCTTCAGAGACCAGCCAAGGGTGCCCCCACCTTTACCTGACCCAGAAGACCCTGCATTCAGTTCAGGTCTCAGAGTCCCAGCCTACCTCCTGGAGGCTCAAAACCCTTCCAGATGCCAAAGATGCATCTTTCAGCAGTGGGATTCCCAGCACCTAGAGATGCCTCAGGGCAAGTGTGAGTGAGCCAGGGATGCTGGACATGCTGGCCAGAGCAGAGACCTCCAAGCACCAGAGAGCAGCAGGGAGAACCCTGCTGGGTCTTGTTGGGGAAGGTGGAGCCTTTTCTAAAGGGCTGTTGGTTGAGCAAGCAGGCAGGTGGGTGAGGCTGGCGGAGCCTGAGCACTCCTGGAAGGCTGTGAGTCAGGGCGGAAGGGCTCCTCCTGAGTCAGCCCTGCTAAAAGGTTGCCCTGTGGGCGTCGCTCCTGAGCTAGGCAACTGGGGCGTGACTGGTGGACCCAAGAAGGTTCCAGGCCCTGGGAATTCAGCCCCTCTGCCCCATGAGCTGCCTGAGAAGCTCAGTCTGGGGATAGAAGCCATGAACTAAAGGAGGGAGGGCAGCGATGGTGACTGTGCCTGCCCAGTGAACTTGTACAAGTCCACCCACCTGTGGATGGGATGTGTGACCCTAGCAAGTACCGACCCAGGCCTGGGAGAGCTTGCTACCTGCTTTCTGCCTACGGCCCTGCCTCCTGTCTTCGTTTCTGCCCAGTTCCCAGTTCCTACTGCCAGGAACGGTACGTGATTAGCCAGAGGCCCCACCCCCTGCCTGAATTAGAACCTCTCGAAGCAGTGCAACTGACCAAGGCTGCTTTTCCAAGTGTTGTGGCAAAGCTCTTAGAACAGCACCAGGCACATAGAAAATGCTCAATAAATGTTGACTATTATTATCAGTGCTGTTATGATGGTGGTTATTACTGAATCGCCTAGCATATGGGTCTGGCATATTGTAGAAGTTTAACAAATGGTCAAATTGACATTATTGTTACTACTATAATTTATTACAGCCATCACAGTGCCTGGCGCAGAGTAAGTGCTAAACAAATGCTCAGTCCTGGAGCATTTGGAAATTCCCCATTTGGAAAAGAGGGACATCAAGGCAGGGAGAGTGAGGTGTGCAGAAGGGGTCAAGTTCTGCCTAGAAGCTGGCAGCCATGCTGACCTCCCTTCCTCCATCCCACCCCATTGATCCAGAAGACCTCGGAGGAGGCTTGACCCCAGGGACCCAAGAGGGAGGAGTTGCACCTGAACCTGCCTGGCCGGTGGAGGAGGGCAGGGTGGGGGAGAGGGTGGGCCCAGGGAAGGCCAGAACACAGGGGCTTCCCGGAGAGGGGAGACTGGGCTATGCCTGAGGGACAGAGTGCCAAGCTTAAAGCGGAACACAAGGACAGGGGCCAGATGATGTGGAACCAAATGGCCGAGAAGACCGGCCCCGGAGCAGACAGGGGCTCTGGGGATCAGGCTTAGAGAAGCTCCTGTGGAACTCCCAGTCTGATAGGGAGTAGCCCCCCAGAGTCAAGCTGGTGCCGGGCTGGAAGCTTGTTCTTTCCCACTGCCCTCCTGCCAGGGCTGACCCTTTAAGATGCAGAACTGGGGTGGGGAGCAGGGGACTGCTGGGCCCCTGGGCCAGAACCCAGTTTGAGTGACCTCGGCTGCCCAACTTCCCAGGGGTCACCCTGGGAGCCTTAGGAGTCAGCCAGGTTGGAATACCACCACCCCTCCTACATAGCTAGCCACCCCCACCCAGCTGATGCCACCCCAGCCCAGGGAGGGAGGAGGCTGTCTGCTCGGCCACCTGGGATGGCACAGCCTCCTACTAGTCAGAGAAGGACAAGGAGTGGCTCTCCGGGCCACCCTGGCCTCAGACCCAGCCCTCCAGAGGAACGAGCAGGGACTGGTGCGTACATCCTTCCCACCCTTTCACATGCCATGCCTTGCTGAGAAAGGGGGGGATACTCCCCAGAGCAAGTCCCTGGATTCTGGGGGATGTGGGAGATGATGTCAGGAGGAAGCCCGCTTTCAGCCACCAGCTGCTGCAGCAACGCACGCCCACGTACGCACACACATGTTCACAGGGCTGCCCCACATGGCAGCGCACACAGGCGTGTGCAGATGCACTCCCTGACAGCAGCCGACCTGTGCAAACCACAAGCCACACACCTACCCTCCCCAGAGATCTGAGGCACAGCCCTGCAGACAACCCAAGTTGCCTGCCGTGAGCGGGGCACTGCGCTAGGCACTGGGGCTATGGCAGTGAGCAAGACGAACCCAGCTCCCCCCAAGGCTGCCTTCTAACAAACAGATATATTTAAAGTCTAACTTTTGCAAAGAAGTATTTATTTGCAGATGAGAATGTGTAATGTCTGGAGTTCGCTGGAAGCAAGGGATGTGGGGGAGTAAAATCTTGGCCCAGGGTGATCATGGCTGAAGCTGACATATGGGCACATGGGGATCTATTATATTGGTTTCTCTTTTTTGTATATGTTTGAGACATACATGTATATAGTTGGCTGTTGATAAATAAAATGAAGAACAGTAAGGCAGGGCAAGGGGACAGAGGACTAGGACTAGGAAGACTCTTTAGATGATCAGAAAAGGCTTCTCCAAAGAGGTAACATTTTAAGCAACGACTTGAATTAACTGAGGTTCAAACCACACAAACATCTGAGAGGAAGAACATTCCAAACAGAGGGGGCCAGCAAATGCAAAGGCCCTGGGGTACAAGCATGCTGGGCTTATGTGAGGAATAGCCAAGAGTACAGTGGGTCTGGAATTCTGTGACCAAAGGACAGGGGTCCAAGGCGCCATCAGAAAGGAGCCTTGTGGGCTGTGGTAGCAGCTTGGAAGCTGGAGTCAGAATGGCAGGAAGCCCTAGAGGTTGAAAGCAGGGTCAGATATGATTGGATTTTTTTTTTTTAAGATTCTATTTATTTATTTGAGAGAGAGAATGTGTGCGTACATGCATGAGTTGGGGGGAAGGGCAGAGGGAGAAGCAGGCTCCCCGCTGAGCAGGGAGCCACACGTGGGGCTGGATCTCAGGACTCTGAGATCCTGACCTAAGTCGAAGGCAGACACTTAACCACTTAACCGACTGAGCCACCCGGCGCCCCTAGAGTACGGTCTTAAGAGATCACCCCGACTTCTTAAGAGATCACTCTGACTCGAGCTGGACCATCAGGAAGTAGTCGAGAAAGCAGAACAGCTTGGAAGCTACTGCAATTGTCTACGCAGGTGGTGGCTTGGGACAGGCAGTGAAATGGTGACACGGGTCAGATCTGGGATCTCTTCTGAGGAGCTAACAAGGCTTTGCTCATGGGTGGATGTGGAGTGTGCAAGAAAGAGAGGAGCTAAGCCTGCCTGCGTGTCTGGGCCTGAGCTTCAGGGTGAGAGGTGTTGCCTCTTCCAGGCTGGGGAGCACAGGGGAAAGCATGTGTGGCCAAATGACTACAGGCAGAGTGCCAGCAGGGGACCCTCACACGAGCGCAGGTGCACACACTGACGGGCACTCAGCAACCCCACGGGTGGACGCACACACTCCGGGTGCCAGGCGCGGGCACACACCCCATTCCCCTCTGCCTGCCTACCCTACCCCCCACGGAAGCCCCAGGGCCAGAGCACCGCCCCCACCCTCTCCAGCTCAGCCTCGGCACTCACAAGAACCCAGTCCTAGCATTCCCTACCAACCCTCACTCTCACCCCCATGGGGGCCCCTCGGGTAAGGAGGCTCCCGACCCAGTTCCTTCCCAGACACCTGAGTCTTGCCCCTGACCCCTACCCTGCCTTCATCTGCCCAGCCCACTCTTCCATGGCCAGGTCCTGCTCCCACACTCCAGCCTGAGGCCCCACAGAAAATTATCAGTCGACAAATATTTGCTTGGTGCTTTCTGTGGGCCCAGCCTTCTGCCCTTCTGCCTGCTACCTTGAAGGCACGCAGCCACTCGCCGCCCACCTCCCTGCTCCCCTCCATTCCCAGCACGCGTGCATTCACTCCACAGCAGGACAGCTGTCCCCGGGCTGCCCGGCCTGGGAAGGGCACAGCTCGGTGCCCGGACAGCCCTCAGCCTCAGTGGGATGCACTGAAGAGCGGCACGACCTGGCACAGCTGACGCCGTGCCTCTGAGCCCCGGTCCGCTGGGACACGTTGGCAATCATTCTCACCTTCCGGGCAGTTGCGGACAACGAGGTAACTCAAGGGAGGCACTGAGCCCGGTGCCCAGCACGCAGCAGCCATTCAGCGTGAGTCGCTGTGCCCTTGGGCCACTCCCCCGGCCCCCCGCCTGGCCGGCCTGTGCAGCCCTGAGGCTGCGGCACACCGAAGCAGTGACAGGCCCACACTCGTGAACGCATGCCCGGTGTAACTGTGACAAACCGAGACTGAGGAGTGGCTTTGCCTGAGGTCCCCCGAGTCTACCCAGGGAAGGCCTGACACGAGCCTGCATCTCTTAACTCTTGGGCCCCACTCTCCTGTGTGTGACGGTGTGTGGGACAGCCAATGAATGGCCCAGGGGACACCTCCTGTCCTGGGCTGGCGAGTACTGTGACAGCCAGGAAGCCCCACGGAGTCTGCTCCCCGTGAAGACATGGCGGCAACACGGGGCAAGGCTCAAGGTCTGGAGGTGGTCAGGGGCCTAGTCTCAGGCCCAGCCCTGCCATCTACCTACTGTGTGGCCTTAGAGGGCTCGCTCAGTCAGTTTTCTCACTTATGAAGTGGGGTGACAATATTCTTGGCCCAGCCTCTCTCTAGGGCTGCTCTAGGGCTCTGCTCAGAGGCTGGTTATCCCAGCTACCCTTACTGAACACTTGCTATGTGCAGGCACTGTCCAGTTGACGCGTTTTGCTCATGTAATCCTCCTAACAGCCATCTGGAACTCCCGTTATAAATAGAGAAATGGAAGCATGAAGCAATGAAGAAACATCCCCAGAACAAGTCCGTGTAGGGTAGGATTCGCATAGGGCTCAGCCACTGCAGCCAATACCAGGGCCCTGCCTCTGGGTGGTGGAGAGAGAGGAAACAGGGGGCCTGTGGCTATCCGGGGGCAGCAGGGCTGTCTGGCGGAGCTTCATACTACCCCGCCCGTTACATTCCTGCCAAAATAGCAGCAAGGGGGACCAGGTCAGCCCAGCAGAGGCTCCAGGTACCTCCAGGAGGCCAACTCCCACCTCAGGCACCAACGATTTGCCTCCCAGCCCAGGTGACCCAGACCTGGGGACCATTTCACACCCACTCGGCTACTCCAGCACCTCCTTCCCTGGGCCCCCCTTCCTGGTCTGTAGAATGACGCCGGTCATCTCTTGCACGCAGGGTGGTTGAGAAATCCTGGCCAGCCAACATCTGCTGTGGTGCTGCCTGCACTGGGGGAGGGTAGGAGCCCCGAAGTTGGGCGATCCAGGAGCAGCAGGGACTTGGCCCCTTCCCAGGTAGAGCCCCAAGGTGGCAGCCAGACCCCAGATGACAAAGGGTTGCATAGGATCTCTAGTGCCTCCCAGAGCTTCTTGTGCTTGAGTGTGTGCTGGGGAGCTGTGGAATGCTGACCAGGAGCCCCAGAGGGGACCACAGGCCACAGAAGGGACTTTTGCCAGCCCCCTGAGGTCCCTTGAGGTCCACAGGTATACAAGGGAGGGAGGGAGCCCTAAGTGCTCAAAACAGGCCAAAGGCCAGACCCACAGAGGCCTCAGGATGGGGATCAAAGGAGCAGGTGGTGGGGGCAGATGACCAGAGGATCCAATGCTAACCTAGGACCACGGTGGGCACTACAGGCCCAGCGCCATGGTCCAGGAGTCTGCAAGCACCCACAACAACGTTAGCAGGGAAAAAAAAAAAAAAAGCAGGACACAAAAAGAAAAGAAAAAGACAAAATCAACATTAATAAAGTTTAAATAAATATCTGTAAGACAAGGCATTGCCAAGTAACAAACTGAACCCAACTGAAACAGGTGTATATGAATGATCTTTAATGTGGAAGGCAGGCAAATTTTCATATGTGTGATAGGGTGTGGGATTCAGTCTCTAAAATTCAAAGTGCCAGAGGCCTGCCCACTGTCTTCCAATGTGCCATCCCCAAATCTTTGAAAGGAGGGGTCCGCAAATTGATTTGCAATTCCTTTTCTACCATGTGAGGGAATGAGAATGCAACAAAGAAATTCTGGTCAGTTGCAGAGAAATGAGGCGATGCTCCTCACACACATTCATGTGTAAGGGGAGATCCTGGGTCAAGGCCGTGGCCACTGTGCAGGGCTGTGGTCAGCCTCTTCGTCCCTGGGAGCTGGTGGGACTCACCCTACCCACCAGCCCCTTCACATTTCAGCAGTTGGGTCTGCCAGCCTCCCGTTCTTTCACCTCTGGAATGGAGCTCTGCCAGACCCTTTTCCTTCAGACTTAAGTGAGTCAATCAAGACTTTGAGGAAAGACGTCAGGGAACTGGGTTCGAGTCCAGCTCCACCTGGGTCTCACTGTGATCCCAGGCCGGGCCCATCTTCGCTCTAGACAAGCCTCAGTCCCTTCGTCTGTGAAATGGAACAATGCCGCCTACCTGGGCTGCTGTGAGGACCAAGGAGGCCACAGCTATGTGAGACTCGCTTTTTCAACAGCCCGGACTGCACTGGGGTTTGACTAACAAAACAAAACCAAAGGAAAAAAGGTTTGCGCTAAACTCTCCTGAAACCTGGGACTGGGTTTCACAATCAGAGCGCTCTGCTGAGCGCCATCTGGGGGAGGTGAATTTTCATTTCTCTCCGTGGTTTTTGCCAGGGCTCCTCGTCTCCTACCCCAGCCCACGGAGCCCTACTGGAGCTGAACTGGAAGGGAAGCAGGTTGGGGGTTGGGGGGGGGGGGAGGACAAGCGGGCTTGGCTCCTGGAGGCCTGAGTCAGCGGGCAGGCAGGCAGGCAGGGCGGGCCCAGTCCTCACATGCTTGGGGAGGAGATGGTGCAGGAATGTTCCTCCCGCCCAGGCCTGGGCCCTGCCCACTGCGTCCCTGCCCTGGCTCACATGCACGCTGCGGCCTCAACTCTGGCTGGACAGATAGGAGAGGCCTGGAGCTCTGTTGGGTGGGTTCAGCCAGGGGCCTATGAGGCAGGAGGGACTGGCCCTGGGGACCGGCCACAGAGCTACCCGGGGCTGGGCTCAAGCCCTTGAACACCCTCGGGCCAGTGGCATGGGGTGACACAGCCGGCTGCCACCCCTCACCAGACCTCAAGTTCCCCATCTGGACAGCGCCGGTGTCAGATGACAGGTGATGCCACTGGCTCCCCCAGGAGGTGGCGCGGGTGCAGTCTAGAAGCAGCGACACGCGTGACACCTTTGCTCTGAGCATGTGTGGCTTGTGGCCGTGTGTCTGAGTGTGTCGCTCTGTGCGGGTAGGACTGCGGTACGGCTATGCGTGGGGACACAATGTGACCAGTGCTGGGAAGAGATGATGCGTGTGCAGCCACGGCCATGAACATGTGCCGTGGGTGGCGCCGTGGCTGGGAGTGCCCCTGGACGAGCACGTGACTGTGCATCTGTGTGCGGACGGCCAGGGCTGGCCCATGTCCCCGTGGGCAGGGTGTGTGGCTGCACGTGGCTGTGGCTGCTTGGGCTTGGGCAGCTCTACCTGTGACTTCGTGGACGTGTGGATGACAGCGCGGCTGTGCCACGGGATGGAGGAGAGGTGCTGAGTGGGCTCTGGAGCCACCCGTCTGCCTACCTCCCCTCCAGGCGTGGCACAGCTGTGGCAGAGCTGTGGCATGGCGGCTTGTGGCCCTCCTGTGTGTCCGGGAGGCAACAGATGCAGGATCTGAGGGCTGCCTCCATCCCCAACCCCCACATGTGGCCACAAAGCTGACTCCTTTCGTGGACTGGACCAAGACTGGGGATCAGAGATTCAGATCCCCCCTACCCCCAGGTCCTGACAGCTGCCCAGGGCAGAAAGAGGGGCCTTGTTTTCCACCCCCTCAGAGCAAAGTGAGGGAGGGTATTGGAGGTAGCCGGGCCCAGCTCTGTCTGGAACATCTGCCTGGCAAGTGACTGAGGCCAGCAGCAGGCCCTGCCACCACCAGGATGCTCCCACGCCTTCCCCAACTGGTCCCCCAGGGCCCTCCTTCGAGGGGCTCCGGTCAACCCAGACCGATCTCAAACTGCCCCCCCCAATACCCCAACCCACAGAGAGAAAGAAACCTGAGGGAATGGCTGTGACATCCTCACTCCCCATTACATAGAAGCCTGCCCCAGCCTAGATATCTCAGGATGCCCACAGTAGACCTGGCCCATCCCAACACTTCACTTCTGGACTCTTCTCCCAGGTCCAAGCCCTCCTGAGTAAAGTCTCAGACCACCTCCCTCATGCTGAGGATGGGACACAAGAGGGTAATACTATTCCCAGGGCAGGAAGCATAAACAGGGGACTTTCCAGGCACTGTGGGTTAAGAAAGGCATTTCCACCACCCCTCCCCAGACTGACCTCAGTAAGGAGCCTCCCCCACTGTGCTCAAGAGCACTGTCTACAGAGGCGGCCTGGAGGTCAAAGCTGCGAAGGGGTTAAGGCAGGAAGGTCCCTGGGTGGGTTGGAAAATGAAGGAAGGAGGGCAGGGAGGAGGGAGGGGAAAATTCCACAGAAAGTCCCAAATCTGACCTAATTTTGACCCAGGGCCAGGGGCCCATTCCAGAAGTTCCTCTGAGGAAGCTCTGCCCTGAACGGGGAGCCTTTGCTGCCCCTTCCCCACTGCACCCGCCATTCCTTACCCCTCTCACTGCTATAAGCTCCCTGGGTCCCTGGCCTGGTCAAAGCCCCCCGAGGCCCAGACCCTGCCAGCCCTATTCTCCCACCAAGACCCCCTTGCCCCGAAAGAGAACCGTGGTTTGACTAGCACCCCTCCTTCCCACATGGAAACTGATTCCTGCTCATCCTAACTGGGACACCACTGAGGGCCCGGCTGGGGGTGGGGGGGGCAGCTCTCCTCAGTTCCCAACACAGAAGCCGCTACAGGACTGGGTGCCCTGGACTGCTTGCCCCACCTCTCCTGGACCAGGGCTTTCCTGGGGGCTAGGCTGGGGCATGCTTCCCTGGGGAGAAGAACCCCGTCAATTAGACTGTCCTGGAGCAGGTCTCCTCTCCCTCACTCATGCAAGTTCAGCCCTAGATTACTGAGCAGCACAGCCTAACCCCAGCAGGACTCCGGCTGTTTGAGAGATTGGGAGAGTGAGGTCTGGGAAGGATGTGTGTCCAGCTGGGGTCCACGGCCACCTCTAGCTCCCAGCTAGCACCTGCCATCAGCACAGTCCTCCCCCCAGCTTTAGAGGTTTTGTGCCCACCATGACCTCACAGTCTAAGAGCTCCCAGGGACACTTAGGGTTTCATCTTTCCCCCACCCTCAATCCCTTTGGGATCCAAACAAAAAAAAAAGCCATGCTTTTGTTGTCTTCATTGCAAAAGGTTTATCAAGAAAATAAGAAAGAAAAAAGACTCAGGCAGCAGGAGCCAGGAGTGGCCATGACCTCCTGGGGAGGCCAGCAGTGGGACCTGTCAGTTCCCCCAACCCGCCGGCCCACACCCTGGCCTGGGCGGAGGGAGTAGCCCCCCCTGAGGATGTAAACATGGGTGGGAGACAGCACAACCTGGCTGGGGAGGGAGCCGGGGCTGGCATCACAGTGAGGCTGGCCATGGACATGCGGGCCCAGGACTTCTGGGGCAGTGGGCAAGCCCGCCCCCGTCTTTCTTCCCCTTGGCCTTCCCTCTGTGCAATAGGAAGGATTCTGAGATTCACTGGGGCCCGAGCCTGTTTGGAATGTGGAGAGCCGTTGCTGGTGAACTCAAATATCTGGTAACTTCTGGGTGTCCTCTCCAGGAAGGTGCCACCAAGGTCCTGGGGTCAGTGGCTTGTCTCAGCACCTTGAGCCCAGGGAAAAGATGCGGCATGGTCCCCTAACCAAGGGGTAATGGAGGCTCAGCAGGTGGAGGGGAGTCAGGAGGGAGTTGGCCTGCAGCTCCTCCTAAGGGGACAAGGTGAGGCAGGGACAGGGACATGGGAGGAAGAGCCCTCCCCTCTGTCACACAGGCCAAAATCCCCACCAAGGGGGCACCAACTTACTTGGGAAAAGTAAGGGAGAGAAGATGGGCGTTTTCATGTCTTCTCACCTTTGCCCATGCTATTCGTCTCTTCTGAATGTGCCCCCCACCCCTGGCCCCATCTACTGTCTGGCAGGTCCTTGTCATTCTCCAAAACACTACTCAAATGTCACCTACTCTATGGAGCCTTCCCTGACCAGCAGAATGAGTGGTTCTTTCTTTAAGCTTCCAGGAAGCCCTTATTTACCATCAGTCACCCTCCGGTGCCCTTGTCTGTTTCTCTGTCTGACCCCACTTCAACTGGGGACTCCCTGAGGGCAGGCATGTCGCAGCCCTGGGACCCAGCAAGCATCTGACACGGGGCCACAGCAGGCCCCGGTGCCTGCTGAATGAACGCGGGGGTGGTGGCCAGGTGAGCGAGTTCTGTAGGTTCTAGCAGAGGCTAAGACCATGGCCTGACCTCAAACGACTGACCCGGAGCCCAGGCCTCGGCCTAGAAGATTCCTGACCCCAAATCTCACCCCTGCTGTACCCCTACCTCTAAGAGCTGGGGGTCTTCCCCAGGGGGACCCATGACTCCTCCAAAGCCCACCCCAACCCTCCCAGCCACTACTGGTGCAGGTAGGTCTAGAGAGCAGAGCGCACTGCAGCGACCAGACCCAGGCACAGGGTGGGGGCCAGGGACACATGATCAGAGGCTGTCATACATGCGCAGCGTCTTCTCCAGCTGCTGGCCTACCCGCTGGTAGAAGAGGATCTGCTGGCGCAGGTAGTTCTGCATCATGTGCTTGAAGTCGAGTTCGCGGCGCTGGTGGAAGTGGTTCATTTCGGCCTGCAGGGCGAAGCCCACCACGCGGCAGCGCCTACGAATGCCATCTGCCTCGTCCTGCGCCATGCGGCCCTCGTCACTCATGCGTTGGCTCTCCTTCACCTTGGCGAAGGCGCCTGGCACGGGCACAGTGGAGGAGGACAAGGGAATTAGGGCTCTGGTCTCCCCCCTTTGCTCCCTATGCCCTCCACGAGCCCCCTCAGGGACAGCCACCTACGTGTCTCCCCCAGGACCATCCCAAAGCCCTCACCGTTGGCACATCTTCCCTCCGAAGCTGGGGCACTGTCAGCAGCCCACGGCACCCAGCCTGTCACAACCCTGCTGGCTGTATCGAGTTCCAGGACAGGGCTGTCCTTACCCAACACAGGCATCGATCACCTCTCACACTGGCTCCTAATCAGCTCAGACATCACCTCCTCCAGAAAGCCTTCCCTGAGCCCCCACGGCATCAGGTGCCTCCCAAAGTTCCCGGGGCTTCCATCAGCCACAGCTCTTACCACCCTGTGCTCACTCTGCCTGCCTCCCTCTGGTCTGTGAGCTCAATGTCTCCAGCGCCCGGGGCCAGGTCTGGCCCCCAGGAGAGCTTGGTACATGTCTGCTGAGCTGATTCAATCTGTTCCTCGCTGAACTACTACAACAGGCTCCTAAGGGGCTCCCACCTCGGGCCCAGTGTCTGAGAGGTTCTCCACAGTACCTGAAGAACAGCCAAGATGGGCATCCAAAGCTCCAGACCTCTCCCAGCTCCCCTCTGCCTGCACACGAAGGTCCCTGCCCATTTGCCTAGCCGGGAGGCACCCATTCCACACTGACCCCATGTTCATCAAACTCACCCTGCTCTTTCCTACCTCCACATCTCTGCCTGCTAGATCTTTCTGCATAATTTAAGGCCCCTGATCAGGCTCAGGCACCACCTCCATACCAGAGCCTCCCACAGTGCCCCCAGGTGCAATGCCTCCTGACCCCTCTCCAGGGCGCTCCCCACCCCATCACAATGTTGATTCTAAAACAGCACCTCGAAGGCCACCTGGTATTTTCCTTTGTGTGTGTCTCCCCACAAACAGGCCCTGCCCCTCCTCACACCAGCCTAGAGGGACCAGAGGAGGCCCTGTAATAACCAGGTGACAGATGGGGGACGGGGGACGAACCTGGGCAGGGGACCCAATTTAGAAGAATCTGAATGAATCAGCAAGCAGTTGGTGAATGAATTCCAGTTCTGAATTAACAGACACTTGACTAATTGTGCACTTGAACCGTGTGCACCGTGGGGCCAGTGGCCGGAAGGAGGAGGCAGTTTGCCTGTGCCTGGCCCTCAGCCCTCGCAGGGCTGCAGGGAATCCACTGTGCGAAGCAGAGGAAGGGTGTAGGAAGGCTTGGCATGCAGGACAGCAGCCCCCGCCCCGCCCCCAAGCACTTCAGAAGCATCCAATGCGCACCAACAGCACACTGAGGGCCTCCAAGATGTGTTCTTTTGACTCTTCACTCAAGATATCTGATGCATTCAAGATCCTTTTTTCGGTCATTTACTCTATGTCAGGCCCAAGGCTCTACATGCTGGAAGTAACTGCAGAGGCCTTTAGAAGGAGCAGCACCCGTATAAGCAGGCAAGTGCATGGCTAACTGGCTAACGGGGGCATCTGGGGTGGACAGACACGAGTTTGGAGAATCTCCAGGGCCACTCACACAGCACTTGAAAGAACTCTGCAGGCACCAGCTCCCAACCCACTCAGTCTTTCTGCCACCCTCCCTGAGCCCCTCCTGCCTCCTATTCCATCCCAACTGCCCAGGTGTGGGCAATGGAAGAGGGCTCAGCCCAAGGCCCAGCATGAGGACCCAATAAGACACTTCAGAGCGAAAGAGATCATAGAGGCCAGCTGCCCACCCCTGACCTTGTACAGAGGAAACTGAGGCCCTGCCGGGGAGGACTTGCCCAGGGGCTCCCAGCCTCCTTCGTGCCCCATATAAGGGGGCTCAGGGGTACCCCTCCATGGCTGGGGGGTTGGACACCACGTATCCTGCAGAGAGCCCATGCCAGGTCACCCAAGTCACCCCATCTGTGTGGGGACCCAGATAACAGACAAGGAACCTACTTGAAGACGAGACACTAACTAGCCTGGATTCCAGATGCCTGAAAAAATCTGGGTGCAGTAAGGGTGGACCTGTATTCCAGAAGGCTTTTCTGGCCTTGGAGGAAGGAAAGCTTCCTTTTGTTGATGAGAAGACAGAGGCCCAAGTAATAGAAACATATCTATTGAAATTGCTAGGTATCCACAGAGAGGGAGGGGGCCAGGGACGGGGGACAAAAACTGTGGGGGGGGGGCAGGCAGAGGTCCCACTCTGCTCTCTGTCACCTCTCCACCCTGTGACTCAGATCTGGGGCTGCCCAGCTAACACTAACATACCCCAGAGACAGGCTGGGAGTTGGGGCTCAGGCCTGTCCGGCATCCCCACTACATTCTGTGTAGGCCTCAACCCTAGAGCTCAGGACCTAGGGGAGCCTCCTGCCCTGGCAGGTGTCCTGTGGGCTGGATCCCAGGAACCAGGAAAGGGGGTGGAAGCTTCAGAGCCCCAGGGTCCCAGGCATACTCCTTAAGCTCCCAACATAATGCGTCCTGTCCCCACCTCTCCGAGGTAATTACCCACCCCCCCTCCTCAGGTCAGGGAAGGAGTTCCGAGTCCTAGTCCCAGCTGTGTCACCTCCAGCAAGCCACTGCTCTTGCCTGGGCTGGAGGTCTCCCAGCTGTCAAACGGGACAGGCTGAACCAGGTCTGATGCTGCTGACAACTGTTCTCAGGGGCACAGTGATTTTGAGTTTCCAGATCTGAAAAACGGGATAATATCTGTGCCCGCCCTATAGCGTAGTTAAGGTTTAACTGAACTTGTCTGTACAAAGGCCAGCACCCGACAGAGTCAGAGCTCAGGATGCTACGTGCAACCGTGTGCAGACTGCTTTTCAGTCATGGCAAGAACCAGTTGGTGGTGGCTGGTAGCAAGAGGCTTCTCTTCGTTTACGGAACCCTAGGAGGGAAGGGTTTAGAGGTGGCCAGGTGATGATGGCCTGGAACACAGAGGTTGGACCCACCCATCCCCCAGACAAGCACTAGGTCCTGCAGGGGACATGCTGCCTTGGCCAACCTGAGTCCCATGGCCACGTTCGCTCTGTGGTCCTGGGCCTGCTTCCAGCCCACTAAGCATGCAGCTGAGTTCATGGTACTAGAGCACCCAGCCTCCCTCATCCCTCCCCCTCTGGCTCATCTACCCACGCACCCATCCCTTGGGGAGCTCCTTCACCCATCTGTCTGGCACAGGGGAAACAGCCTGGGCTGTGCGGTGACACCCCTGGGCCCCAATTCCTGCTCTGCGTATCATCCCACCTTGCTACACCTCATCTGAAAAATGCAGGGGACCACAGTAACTTCCCTGCCCCGGCTGGCTCACAGGGACGGGCCCTGCACAGGTACTATTTCCCCTTGTCCCAGCCTAGCTATGACCGGGGCGCCCTTCACCCCCCCGACTGCCCGGGGTTTAGATGGTTAGTTACATGGTTCCTCTTCGCTTAGAAGACCCCTGGACTGAGCTCCAGGGGCTGGGCCAGGGGGCAGGCAGACTGGTGGGCTTCAACTCAGTGCCAAGCAGGCTCCGCGATCCATTTTACTAAGGGGGACACTGAGGGCAGAAAAACACCCTCACAGTCATCTCAGAAGCAATATTTGTCCAGACCCTGGCCTCCTGACCCCACCTAAGCCTCCTGTCTCCTTCCTTCCACGGCCTCTGCCACACGCTTGCCATCTTTCAGATGTCCGGGTAGACTAGACAGAATTCTGGAGACCTGAGGCCCAACTTTCCTGCTCCTTTCTCTGAAAAAGGGTCCCAGCCACAGGGCCAGCAGGGAACTCCTCCTCCCCCCATCATCCCCCAAACCTGTCCAATTCCGTCTCAGCCAGATCCCAAGCCCCCCTCCCTAACTTGCCCGACCACAGCCCAGAAGGAGGAAGAGTAGGCCCAAATGGGTCGGTCCACTGGGGAGGGCTCCTCAGGGTGAGGGAAGGCGGGTGAGCCTCTGCCTAACGTTGAAAGCATCAGCCCAGAGGACTGCCGGGCCCCCACTCTCAGAAAAGCCTCAAGTAGAAAAACTCAGAAATGTCCTCTCTCAGCTCTGTGTCCCTGCCCCGGAGTCAGAAAGGCCAGTGTGGCTTCACCTCTTCCTGCTTCAGTGCAGCCTGGCAGCCCTGGCTGGGTAAGGGGCTGCCTCCCTGCCTGCCCCCAGCTCTGCCCTGGGGGACTGACCGCAGCCACTGCCCACACAGAAACATGCTCACCAAGGAGCTGGTTGAACCAGCTTGCCCAGGCCCGAGCGCAGCAGTGACCATGCCTCCACTTCCGCCCAGGGAGACACCTGCCCCACAGGGCCCCGGCCGGCCCCCTCTGCCACATCCCTGCCCCAGAGCTCAGAGATCCGCTCTAAGGCATCACTCTGTTCTCGACCAGATCCTCCCCAGGAGTCTCCCTTCCTGAGAGCTCAGTGGCTCGACCCTCCCTTGTTTTCTAGATCAGGAAACTAAGGTCCAGAGAGGAGGAGGCACGTCCCAGGAATACCCAGCAAAGTGGCAACACAGCCAAAACGAGAAGTCAGGGCTCATGTCTCCTGAGGCTCAAAGAAGAGGGAAGGAGAAGGACAGGAATGTGAAGGTGAGAAAAAAGGGCAGGGAAAGGAAGGAGGATGAGAAAGTGAGGAGAGAAAGGAGCCTGGGAGATGGAGAAGCTCTAGAAGTCTATCTCCTGGTAAAGTAGAGCAGGGCTGGCTTACTCCCGACTCTCCAGGATACTGAGGCGGAGGGTGGTGTTTGCTGTCCCCCAGGCTCAGTCCAGAGGTCTGCCTCGGGGCCCCACCCAGAGGAAAACTCTGCACCAAGCCAGGCCTGACCTCAGGGCCTAGGGGCCAAGGAGCCAGCCCCACGCCCTGCAGACGTTCTTCCTGAGTTACCAAGCAGCCCCAGGGAGGACCACACCTCTCTCCTGACGTCTGCCTTGCCTGTTGTCCCAGGACTCAGCCACCTGCCAAGTCAGCCCCTGACTCACTGCTCAGGCAAGAGAAGCCAGGTTAAGGAAGAGGGAGTTGGATGGGCCATGTGGGTAGTGCCCTGAACCCCTGTTGCTCCCCTGGACCAGCCCGGGTGCCCCTAGGTGACCTGGGATGAGTCACTTCCCTGGCAGTTCCTTGACGGCCCAACAGTAACAGACAGGAGCCCATCCTGTCCCTCCCCCACGGAGGGGGGCCATGAGAACTGAAAACACAGCTGGGCTTGGGAACTGGCCAACATGGACGTGTCCTTGGGGAGGCGCAGAAGGAAGGGACAGTCTCAGCTGGGCCACGGACTCCCTGTGCAACCAGCCTTCTGTGGACACCAGCTTCTTCATCTGCAAAATGGGGACAGCGAGCCTCCCGCACACAGACAGGGAGCTCACAGATAGGGTATGCGGTGGAAAGCACAGGCTCTGAAGCCACAGGGGCAGGGAGTGGAGCTTGAGAGGAGTGGGAAGACAGGCCACACTCTGTGCTCTTGTTATCTGTGTCCCTGTCCCCCACGAGCCTGTGGGCTCCTCAAGGGCAAGGCCTGGGCCCCAGTCATCTCCGTGTTCCCAGACTCAGCCTGATACCTTGATCAGCCTGATACCTGATACCTAGGCTCAGCACAAAATGGATAGATGAGCAAATGAGACAGAAACAGAAAAAAAGGAATGCACGAGCAAACAATTGGACAATACAAGGTAAACAGCGAGCTCCATGAGGTCAGAGACCAGAGCTGTCTACAATAATATCCCTGCACCTAGACTAGCACCTGCCCTGTAGCAGGTGCTCGACATACTGTGGAATGAATGAATGAGACTGAAAGACCAGATGGCCTGCTCCATTCCCCTAGGCCATCCTCAGATCCCCAGTGCCCAGCAGAGCGCAGACTCAGCAGGGGTCTCCTGCCCACTCTGGCTCTTACCTTTCTGCAGGTGGATGATGTCAGGGAAGTTTGAGAGCAGGCCCTGGTAAAGAGACAGCGTGTCGAGCATCTGGAAGAGGTCGTTCTTGGGCTGCTCAGCGAACATCTCACCAATAGCTTCATAGGTACGGCCCGTGTGAGAAATGGCACTGTTGAGGGCCTCGGAGCTAAAGGGGGGGTCCATCTGGAAAGCATGACTGATGGCCTGAAAGGCATTGCCCAGCTTCTGGAACTCCTTGCGGAAGCCTCCCACATGCTTGCGCACCAGCTCGGATGCTACAGTGCTGAGCTGCAGGACGCTGTCGTCCATCTTCTTGCTGAAGGCCTTGAAGGTGTCCACACGGTCCTCCACATCCTGCAGGTCCTGGTGCTCCGTGGGGATCTGGAAGGTGAGCAGGAAGCTGGCACCCACCATCTCATCCTTCTCTGCCCTGCGTTTGCCCATCTTCCACTGCTTGTCATCCAGGCAGCTGAGGAAATGCTGGAAGCCCTCATACTGGGACAGCACAGGGTGGCTGGTCATGTGGTCCATCCAGAGGATGAGCCGACGCTTCCGCTTCTCAATAAAGTCTTCCTCGAAGCGACCTGTGGCCTGCTTCTCTGGCAGGTGGGGCACCGAGATGACAGTGAACTTGTGCAGCAGGCGGTTATAGAGCCAGTCAAAGTGTTTGTAGCGCCGGTAGACTGGCGAGCCAGCGTGGGTAGGTGTGAGCTTGTAGGAGATATAGCTTTTGATGCCCTTGAATTTGGTCTGTTTGGTGGGGTCCTCCACTGAACAGGCAAACGGGTGGGGGTTGGCCTTCCACTGGGGGCCACGAGGGCCCATTTCGATGGAGTACGTCTCAGCAATCTTGGCCATCATGGGCACATCACCCAAGATAAAGGCCTCCACTCCAGAGCGCACGAAGCACGAGAAACGGTTGAGGTTGCGCCCCACCACGCTGCCACGCTTGGCAGATGCCAGGCTGTCCTGCCGTTCCAGGGCTGGCTTGGGCCGAAAAGCCATGTGCTGGCTGGGGTAGGCACCAGGGTAGGAGAGGTTGAGAGGGGGGTGCCCGTTGGTGCCCAGCCCACCAGCCCGAGGCTCCTCCACCACTGTGCATCCATCGTCCCAGTCATCCCAGTCATCGTCATCGTCCTCCTCGAAGCTGCCCTGGTGTGAGAGGAAGCCACTGCCCCCACCACTCCTGGAAGGGCTGGCCGCGTCATACGAGCTCACCTGGGTGCCCAGAGAGCCTGGGCTGCTGGAGGAGTCGGCATGGTTGGAGGTGGGACCAGCCCGGATGATCTCCACGTAAGAGGCAGGGAAGAGCCCTGTCTCACCTCGGCTATTCTGGCCCTGCAGCCAGCCATCCAGCGAGGTCTCACTGAAGATGACTAGGTCCTCATCCTGATGGATGCTGATCTCCTCCTTGTTCTCGCTGCGGAAGTCATAGAGGGCTCGGCCTTTCAGCGCCATGGCTGGGCCAGTCGTAGAGAGAGAGGAGACACGGTCCTACCCAGAACTGAGAATGCACTAGCAGCTCAAGGCCTGTCACAGCAACTCAGTCTCTCAGCCCCTAAACTGGGGCCTAAGCACCCACAGATGCTATCCAGCCTCCCACTACTCAAAGCAATGTCCTCGGCCCATTAACTGCCCTATTATTATTAGGTCTCCAGCACACTGCTGTGAGCAGGGAGGGATCATGTCCATAATCTGCCTCCCTTCCCCTGGCAGCCCCAGAACGGGTAGTCTCTCCTTCCTTCCACTCCCAAAAGAAAAGTCAAGTGACTTGGAGAAATCAGCTCTGAAAGGGCAAGAATTTGTTTGACACTTTCCACTGGAACAATGTTCTGAAATAGAAAAGAATCACTCAGAAACCACCGATCCAGAAATCTGGGCAGCTCTGGCTCCCAGCTCCTTCTGGCTTCTCTCACATTCCTCTGCAGATCTGCTCCTTCCTCCTCCTCCTGGGCCACTGGGTTTTCAAAAATCCAGAAAATCCAAGAGGGGCATGGAGAAAAGCAGCAGCCTCTTGAATCCAGTCCAAGGGTGGATGTGTCCGGCTTCCCAACCAGCCAGGCCGGGGAAAACAAGGACTGAGGCTTACACAACAGGCCGCCAACTCCGCGACCCCAGCGGCCCAGCCCGGTCTGGCCTGGCCCCCAGCCCCCGGGCCCCCGGGGCCCCCGGCCCCCAAGCCTTCAGCCGGCTCAGGAGGCTTCCCCCACCCCGCCTCCCGACTGGCCAGCCCCCACCCTAGGGAAGGAGGGGGTGCGACGAGGCGCTCTGGCGACTTCTGGCCACTAGCTGAGTGGCCTCTTTTGTTTGCCTAGCTCCTCAGCAGTTTCTGAGCCTGAAGCTAACCCTGATCTGAGTCCAAGGACCCCATCCAAAGGTAACCTCCGCGGTCCCCGGTCCCGGCGCGCAGGTCGTACAGACCCCCAGCCCTGGCGTGCCCGCACACACTCAACAGGAGTTTGGAGAGTGCGCTCCGGCGAGCAGATGGCGCGCCCGGCCGGCTGGCGGTCCGTCGTCCACTCGGCCCCGCGGTGTCCGGCCGGTGGGCGGCGAGCCCTCGTCCAGCACTCGCAGCCCCTCTGCGCCGCCAGCGAGAAGCTAGCTCCAAAACAACAGAAAAAAGGGATTCCGGGAGGTGGCGTCCGGAGAAAGGAGGGAAGAGCCGAGGGGGAGGTGAGGGGTGGGGAGAGGGAGGGAGGGAGGAAAAGCAGGCTGGGGAATTGGGCAAACTCCACAGCACTTCCGTGCGTCCTGGCTGGGCAGGGATGGCCCAGCTCCGCCCTCCCGCGGCCTGGGGCGCTGCAGCCCGCGCCCCCGCCCACTCCCCGCCCGCTTTCCTTCTGGCGCTCCGGGATGGGCTTGAGGGAAGGCGCCGGGACCCCCCGCCCGTCCACCCTCGCGGGGAGACACCTCTTACCCGAGGGGCTTGAGCGCCGCCGCCGCCTCGCCTCCTGGGTTCTGTCACCCTCCTGCCTTTCCCATGACGCAAGTGGAGGAAAACTCCGAAAGTTCGCAAAGTGAGGGCTTGTGACGGGGGCGCCAGAGCCGAGACCCGGGGCAGGGGGTTGAAGAAGGGTGCTGGGAGAGCCGCAGACAGCCGTTTCCCATTCCCGTGCCCCTCCACCCCACTCTGGCGAGACTGGATGAAACTGGGCCGTGGCGCAGCCTGGGGATTGTTCTCCGGAGGGGGCCCCAGGGCGGGCCCCAATGCCAGCAGCGCCCTCTGGGAAGAAGCCTGAGAGGTCTGGGATACTGGCCGCTGCAGGTCCTGGTACCTTAGCCAGACAGGGCCAGAAGCACCCCTGCCCTGGGAGACTTCCTTCAGAGGGAAAGACAAGACCCTACATATGTAGCAACAGGGAACAAAGCTTAGGCACGACCCGGCGCGGCCTCGGGGACTAGATTTTAATCGGCCGGCCGTCAGCAGCGAGGAGAGAGGGGTGGTCCGCTTAGGCTTGCACGAACAGGCAAGGGGGATCTGACCCTTGGTCAGCCCATCTGGGACACTCTGGGCACCGACTGCCAGGCACTGTGCCAGGCACTGGGGATTACATCACAACAGGCAGTAGGTGTTGTGCCCTCTTGGGTTTACAGTCCACCATCTTGTCCTTAATTCATCTATCATAATGTGTCTGTCTCACTCATTCAATCATGCAATCAAGGAAACATTAACTGAGTAATCATTCTGTTATCAGGCCCCCTGGGCTACAAAGATAAATAAGACACTGTCCTAACCTTCCAGAAGCTCAGGTAAGTCAGGAGAAGTAGACCGGTAACTCCCTACCCAGTGTCACCAGGGCCATGAAATGTGCATGGGAGGGCACCTATCTATCCCATGGGTGGAGTAAGGATCAAGGCAGGCTTCCTGGAGGAGGAGGGGCCTAAGGTGGGACCAAGACTTTAGCCCGACTCCTCTTCTAGCTATGCCCTGGAGCCTTGCCTACCCCTTCTAGCTAGAACTTCCTTCCTCCTCATTCTGACTCTTCCTAATTGCTGCAGATTAATTGGCCCAAAGTAGATCTGCTAAAAGTGGGCACCTTTGATGTTTTGAGGGGTGTAGGGTGCAGGCCTCTGGCTCCAAAACCCACTTTCATCGGTGCAGTGAGTAGATCCAATTCCCTATACAGGGATGGCATATGACCTGAATAAAGGCTTATATACAAACCCCAGAAGGCCAGGTGTTTTTTTTTTTTTTAATTTTTATTTGTCACTGTAGTTGACATATAATATTACATTAGTTTTGGGTGTACAACATAGTGATTCAACAATTATATACATTACCAAAGGCTCACGGTGGTAAGTGTAATTACCAGCCCAGGGATTAAATTGCACAGAGAAATACAATTAGTCAGGCAGACCTGAACTTTTGCATCAACAGCGCAAGGCAGTCTGAGCTGCTCCTTAGGAAGCCCAGTTATCAGGTTAGCTCAGAACCTGGAAACCCCATGATAGGAAGAGATGGTGTGACAAGTCTTTCAGCCAAAAAGCCTTGAGATCTTGTCCCCCACAATAGGGCCAGCCCTTGATTCTAAGGATTCGGGTCATCCTACTCTTGCTACAACCAGAGCTGGAGTATGTTTCCTCCAGCTACTTTTGGGACACCCCTTCTCTGGGATCTCTCTTCAGTTCACACAGCCTCTCTCCAAGCTGAGCCTAACAACAGCAATTACTTCATTAGTGCCACATACTGTGATAAACATTTTATCTTTATTAGCTCCCTTAATACAATCGATGGGATTTCTGCTCACCCGAGCAGGATCCTAGTCCAGCTACCACTCTATGGCTTTTAGTTGGTTCCCAAACACCTCAGACACAGTCATAGACCAAGCATCTTAGACTTACTCCCACATCTGTTCTGGGTGGGTTTTTCTAACTCTCAGGGGCCACCCTTATTTCCAGGTTCTTGGGGAAAATTCTCTTGAGCCTCACAGAGATTTCCATCCAGTACTGATATCTTCCATTCCCTCCCTTTCAGTGACCCTCTTCAAGCCTAGGGACAACACAGCGCGAGCGCGCGCGCGCACACACACACACACACACACCCCGCCGCCAGGTGCTAGTCTCAGAAAACTGCACTAACCTCTGTGGTTTCCCTACACCCTGCCCATTCCCTTGAGACAAAGTCCCTTTATTCAATTCTCCTCACATTATTCTAATTGGAGTGTGTTCTCTCTTTCCTGCTGGGGCCCTGACTCATGCTCGACAAATAACATCCATTCCCCATCCAAGCACCCAACTTTCCTCCTTTAGGAAAGAAGTCAGCAAGGGAGAACTGCAGCCAGTGGTTTCCAGGCTGACCCCCCTGGTGGCAGTGTGGGTACACTGGACTACACTGTAACAACGCACACAAGAGGACAACAGCCTGAGATAATGCAAGGGTACCGGGCTAGGGAGAAGTAAATCTGGGAGTTTATGCAAGTAGAATGGACTGGAATGGCATCCAACAAGCTGTGGGTATTGAAGAAAAAGTCAACCCACATCTTTAAAAAATAGATTCTCCACTCTACTTCCCCCACCAGCTACTGTCCCATTTCTCTGCACGCATGAGCAAAATTCCTCAAAATAGCCATCTATACTAGCTGCCTGCAATTTCTTTCCTCTTCTTAAACACCTCTAGCCAGTCTTTCACCGGCAGATTCCACTGAAACTATTCTTGTCAAGGTCAAAGTCATCAATGACCTAATGGTTATTTTCAGTTCCCCTCTTACTCCCCTCTTACTCAACCTCTCCATAGCATTTGACCAGGTTGATACACTTTCTTCACTTGCATCGGGAAGACCATACTCTCCTGGTTTCCCTTCTACCTCACTGGTTCATCCTCCTCTCTCCAATAATTCTTAATACTAGAGTGACTACAGAAAGCAGTCCTCTTGTCTTTTCTATCATATTCACTCCTTTGATGACCTCGTCCAGGCTCATGGATGGATACATCATCTATCTGCCAATAACATCGCAATTTTTTAATCTCCAGCCTAGGCCTTTCTCTAGAATTCCAGACTCAAAAGTCTTTCACCTTGACATCTCCCCTGGGATGACTACTAGACACCTCCAACCCAACATGTCCCAAACAGTATCAGGCATTGCACCCTAAACCTGTTCTACTTGGCAGCCTTCCCGATCTCAAGTGATGAGTAGTTTCTTCACTTGCTCAGGAGAAAAACTGGAGCCATCCTTGACTCTCCTCATCATCCTGGGATTCCTTTCACATCAGATTCTCACTACTGCTCTCCTGGTCCCAGCCACCATCTTTCTCACCCAGATCACTGCAATAGCTTCCTAATGATCTGCTTCCATCCTTGCCTTCTAACAATCTGTTCTCAACACGGCAGTTGGAGTGATCCATTTAAAACATAAGTTAGATGTCAATCCTCTGCTCTAAACCATTCAGTGTCCTCATCTCACAAACATAAAAGCCAAAGTCCTTACTTACTTGAAGGCCTATGAGCCTGTCATCTGAACCCTCTTTCCTCCCCTCCTAGCCCACTGCTCCTTCGAGGATGGCTATTACTCCTCTTCTGGCTTGCCAGGAGCATTCCTGTCTTAAGGCATTTGCAGACTGTGTCCTCTTCCTCAAATACTCTTCCCCTAGATATCCATATGGCTAAATCCCTATAAAATATCACCTTCTCAATAAGACCTACTCTGACATGCCCTATATAAAATTACAGCCCTTCCTCACCCCAAGTTCTCCTATATCCTGCTCAGTTTTGTTTCATAATGCTTATCACTTGCTAACACATATAGTTTAGTTTTTACTATGTTTATTGTCTGGGGAGAAGGAAGTTAACGAAGAGTCCTACTGCAGATATGCTGAGCAAGGGCTGAGGATGGGAGTAAGGTTGGGGGAATATGAAGGGCAAGGATGCAGTGCAAACTAGGAGAAGATATTTGTTCCATATATAACTGGTTAAGGCTTAATATCCATAATACATAAAGAACATCTTCAAATCAATTAGAAAAAAAGAAAAAAAAGCAAACTGTATTAGTTTTCTATTGCAGCTACTACAAGTTACCACAGACTTGGTGGCTCAAAGCAACCCAGTTTTATTCTTTTACAGAAATCCAAACTGGGATCTCAATGGGCTAAAATTAAAGTGTCAGCAGGGCTGTGTTCCTTCTGGAAGCTCTAAGGAAAAATTTGTTTCCTTGCCTTTCCAGCTTCTAGAGGCTGCCCACAGTCCCCTGCTCTTGGATCCCTTTCATCTTCAAAGCCTGCTATCACGTCACTCAGACTTCTGCTTTCATCATCCTATCTCCTGACTCTTCTGCCTCCCTCTTTCACTTATAAGGACCCTTATGATAACATGGGACCCACCCAGGTAATTGAGAATATTCTCACCATCTAAAAATCTTTCATTTAACCACATTTGCAAAATCAGTGTGTATACAAATTACCTGGGGACCTTGTTAAATGCAGACTCTGATTCTGTAGGTCAGGAATGGGCCTAAAATACTGCATTTCCAACAAGCTCTTTGCTGGTCCACTGGCTCCACTTTGAATAAGAAGGTTCTCAATGTATTTAGAGATTCATGTGTAATGATAAAACTGTTTTTTTCTTTTTAAGCGAAAAGGAAAAATAAACACAAAACTCAGTATAGATACCATTACCTCTGGCTGGAGGAGTGGCTGGAAGAAGTAGATGAAATGGTCCTGGTGACATTTTCTTAAACTGGGTGTCCGGTTCGAAAGTATTCATTATACTTTGTAACTTACGTATATTACATATATTATTTTCCACATATCAAGTATTATACTTAAAAGTACATGAAAACCATACAAAAATAAGACAAAATGATCAGCGAAGAAGCTAGGTGGCGTCAAAGGCCTGGGCAAATAAAGTGGTTAGTCTATATAACTTACAGATATAACTAGCCTAACAGCGTTTAATTTATTAAACTCAGTACTGGCTGACCAGAAGTCCACCCAGTCGGGCTAATTTATATGAGCTCAACTAAGGAGTTAAGTTTCGTATTTAATATCCAAATTTCTCAGACTTGCTGGGTTTTATGAACCGCCTAGCATTCCTGCTAACAATACAGATTTCCAGGAGACTCCCGTGTAAATCTCGATTCTGTGCGTGTAAGGAAACAGCCGGGAAATCAATATTTTATATGTTCGCCGGCGTCCAGCCCCACTAAACAGGGAGGGACCACTTGCCCGCCTGGTGAAGGGCCTCGCGGTAGCGAGCGACCGGGACTACCCGGTCAGCCCCCGGCCCGCTGGCTTCGGAAAGCTCCCCACCAGGTGGGAGGAACCCGACGAGAGGTTAGCACGGTAAACCCCATCAAACAAGCACGGACGGCGGTCACCCGTCTTCCCCAGGATTGTCCTCAGCTTCTCCGAGCAGACTCACCTGGAAGTCCCTAAAAGACGTAAGTCTGCATGAGAGGAAACGATTACCGCACTAGGGGATATATTTTTGGTAACTGAAAACCTCGCGAAAATTTAAAACAAAAAAACGAAAACAAAAACACCTCCCAGTGTCGTGTCCCCGCCCGCCGCCCCACCTCCAGCCTTTCTTCGCTACTTCTTCCCGGTTCCTTCCGCCAACGCGAAAGGAAACGCGAGAAGAGACGTGGGGCGTGGCTCCACTCTGACCAATGGAAATCGAGGGCGTGGCCCTGAGCCTTTCTCTCATTGGCCCAGGGTCCCCCGGCCTGATCTTCGCGCTCGGAGACGACGGAAGTCGCCCAGCCGCTAGTACGCGCTCTTAGCCTGGGGTTTTGCCGCCCCGGGAGCCACCATCATGGTGCGGAAGCTTAAGTTCCACGAGCAGAAGCTGCTGAAGCAGGTGGATTTCCTGAACTGGGAGGTCACTGACCACAACCTGCACGAGCTGCGCGTGTTGCGGCGTTATCGGCTGCAGCGGCGGGAGGACTACACGCGCTACAACCAGCTGAGCCGGGCCGTGCGCGAGCTGGCGCGGCGCCTGCGCGACCTACCCGAGCGCGACCCGTTTCGCGTGCGCGCCTCGGCCGCACTGCTGGACAAGTTGTACGCTCTCGGCCTGGTGCCCACGCGCGGCTCGCTCGAGCTCTGCGACTTCGTCACGGCCTCGTCCTTCTGCCGCCGCCGACTGCCCACCGTGCTCCTGAGGCTGCGTATGGCGCAGCACCTCCAGGCCGCCGTGGCCTT